ATCTTATGAAATGATGCAATATTTTCAAAAATATTTTTCAAAGTATTCTTCTTACCCGACTATCCCAAAAAATGGTATGGTGTTTTTGGTCTCGGTTAATACACGTGTATGTATGTACATAAGGATGTATGTTTTATCTTTGGTTGCAATTATTTCTGACTCGCTTTGTAGGTTCAATGATTTAAATGTACGAGTATATTGCCCGTTTTCACCAACGTCCCATAAGCTACCACCTACGTATGGGATCCCTAGCTTAAAAGTTCCCCTAAACTAGCCCCTAAATTAAATTTCGTTTTACCATCGTCCGAGCCCGTATTTCTAGTACCTATATTTAGGTGGAATTTTAACACTTAGGTGACCCCTAACTGTCGGTGAAACCGAAACTGTCCCCTAACTGCCCCTAACCATGCTTAGGGGATCCCTTAAACTTAGGTGACGTTGGTGAAATCGACCATAAATGTGCTAAATTTTATTTTATATATATTGGTTACCATCGAACTATCTATTTATCTGGTACATAATTAATTGAATTCAAAGAACCCTCCACGGCTATTATAATATTAAAAAATATTCTTACAACGTTGTAACGAACATAAGACTATTAGATCCTAGGTACTACATAAAATTCATGTCACGTCATTTACCTACTGTCAACCGGATCTACAGCTGGACAAAAAGGTTTTTTATATATAGAGTTGTAAACTTCATGAAATAAATAAGATAAAATATAAATTACGCGAAGTTATGTTAGTGGTCACACATTTATTATGCTAGTCATTTTATTACTCAAACCCTAATTACAATTGAAGGAAGTGGAACAAGTCATAAAAATTTATTATATATAATGAAGAGCAAATACTTGTGTCCTGTACCATATAAATAGTGGCGTGGCGTAAATATAGCGTTGTCCAGATCCGTCAGCTGTTTTGGCATAATTAGTAACAAACATCCAAACATCTAATTTTTCACATATATCATATTCTTATATATATATATATATATATATATATATATATATATATATATATATATATATATATTAGATCTTTCAAGTTTACAACGTTTTTGTTGATAAAAAACAAAAACACTATAAAAAGGTGTAAATATAATCCAATGTAACTAGCTAAGCGAAGCTTAACGTTTGATATTCTATTTTTAAAACTAGCCGTTTATATATATTTTTTAATCTGTTTATGAGTCGATAATGAATAATTTAATTATGTATTATCTGTGATATTTTTTGTCGAAATTCTTAATATTATTATTTCATATAATTTTTATATAAAAATCGATGTGTGTCTGTATGTTCACTATGGACTTCAAAACGGCTGGAGCCATTTTGATGAAATTTCCAGGCAATCTTCAGATTAGCGCAGCGGGTGATCCTGTGAAGTTTGGTAGCCATCGGAAGGTTGAACGCAAGCGGAGCTGCGGGTACCTACTGCTAGTATTATAATGATCTTTAAACCCATAACTCATTGTCTGAACACGTGTCAAATGTTTTATATCGGTAATTCGGTAATTAATCACACTCATACTATATCAAAAACAATTACTCAAATTAAATACAATAAGGAAGTTTATTTTTATTGTAAAATGTTATTAATCTTGGCCTTAGTAACGTCTATACCTGTAATTAAAAATGAATCACGTTTTGCGTTGTTGTTGTCATTCATTTATCAAACTTACACTGTAGTTAAATTCGAACCTACGAGCTGCGGCATAGAGTCTAATACTCTGAATGTTACGCCACTTTCATGGTACAATTGTATTATTATTATATATGCGAAAGCTTGTATATACTATGTATGTTTGTTACTCTTTCACGCTAAAACGACTGGACGTATTTGTATGAAAATTTTAGATTGATAATTAATAAACTTTGCCAAAAGATGGCGCTTTCTGTATAATATTATAAATACAACCCTTAAGTGATAACGGTGGTCCACACCCTTATCACTTAAGGGTATGAAAAATAATTTACGTCCTTTTCTCAGACTCTGCTGAATACACACACAAAATTTTATAAAAATCGGTCAAGCCGTTTCGGAGGAGTTTTCGTACAAACACTGTGACATGAGAATTTTATACGAGTATAATTTTTTTTCAATTACCTTTGCCTATGATATTACTAGTAAATTTGACTAGGTAATTACATATAACATTATATGTATTTTATCTTATTTCTACAGAATATAATATTAATAATCAACCCTTTATGTCCAGTCGCTTACCTATGAAATTTTTATGCATAGATATTGCGAATATTTCTTATCTTATAAAATTTCATTTAAACTAACCGATATCTACTTATATGCGACTAGCGACTCACCCTCGCTTCAGCCGGTTTTGCTAGTAAAAAATAAAATCAATTCTATCCCACGGGAACCGTACATTTTTGCCCAATAAAAAGCAACCTATGTGCTATTCTAGATTATAATCTATCTCTGTGCCAAATTTCATTCAGCTCCGTTCAGCCGTTCTGATGTGATTGAGTAACAAACATCCATTCAAACTTTCGCATTTATAAATAGAAACTAGCATTGCCCGCGGTTCCCGAAGGATAGGTTTGTCTTCGTTTTGCTAGAGTTGATCCCGAGCGAAGCGAGGGTGAGCCGCTAGTCTATACAGATAAATAAAAGTGAAGTGTGTGTTTGTAATGTCAACATAACAGCTTTGTACTAAATACATATGGAATTATATACGGTACTAGCATTGCCCGCGGCTCCGCCCACATTCAGATGACCAAAAACTACTACTATGTATGTATGTTTGTTTGTTAGGTTTTATATATTAGTATACTCTTACATTGCAGTTTTTATATCTTTCTCAGAAATGAGACATTTTCCCGCGGTAAAAAGTATCCTATATATAGACCAGAATAACCAGCTATCACCATACCAAATTTAATCAAAATCCCTCCAGTGGCTTTTCTGTGATGCGGTAACAGACAGACAGACGGACAGACAAAAATTCTAAAAACTATAGATTCGGCCTTTGTATTGATAATAATGTTTATTTCAATAAGATTCTCCAAAAAAAATTAATGTACAGATTCGGCTTAGTTACAATTTTATTATATGTATAGTACATGTATTTATATAAAAGTAGTAAGCACGTTGCATTATGCAGAGAGCGGTATCGCGTAAATCTGACATGACTTATAAAGTAAATTGTGTTTTAATACTTATGTATACTCGTACTTAACTGAGATCATGAATGACTCAATTTTGCAATACAGAATACCATGATTGGTAACATCATATTTGAAGTGTTGCGAGATCTTCACTAGCCTATGAAATACAAGAAACCATCACTCAACATGTATTCAGCCCCTTTTAACGTCTCACTGCTGGTCACGAGCCTCCCTTCGTTGACGGACTTCACATGTCTTTGTTGAATGTTAAAATTCATCTCCTAAAGAGGCTAATAGTTGATGAAAATTTTCATGACAATCAAAGCGCCTAAAACCCACCATGTTGACTATGTTTTATAATTTTACTCTGTGAGACTCGTTTTATCACGACGGATATATATATATATATATATATATATATATATATATATATATATATATATATATATATATATATATATATATATATATATATATATATATATATATATATATATATATATATTAAATATATATATATATATATTAAATATGTATATATATATATATATATTAAATATGTAATATCTATATATATATATATATATATATATATATATATATATATATATATATATATATATATATATATATATATATATATATATATCATCATCATCAAAACCAGTTCCGTCGTTTAGAGTTACGAGCATAGTCGGACAGACATAGGCAGTTTGTTTTCATAGCATTACTAATTTTTACCCGCAGTTGAATTATAAATTTTATTGCATCCTTCAATGAATAGGTTATAAAATCAAAATGAATTTTCGGTTCGAGATTAGGACGATCTTTTTTTATGCATATTAGCGTTGTACTATGTGGGTTGCCTCCGGTACTTCTCTGACGTCGGAGTGGACCGTTGGTGCATCCCCATGGTTGTTGCGGTCTGCTTCGGCAGACCTGCCGTCAGGGCGTCGTGGTTGAGTGCGTAAGCGATCCTGCGACGCCCCGTTAAGATGGGGGAGGTTTTGAGTTTTAGGGGGTAGTAGGTATTGGCTTTTCTAGCCAGTGAGTCCCACATAACCACTTATATGTCTACAGGTGGCATGCATAAATGCATTTCCCAACATTAATACTTATTATTAGCCTTTGTAGATTTATATCAAGCTGAGTTAGTGAGACGTTAGCGTGCATGACACTCGACAGAACAATAGAAACGTGATGGCAACAGATGAGTAGGTACATAGTTTTTATTAGGGTCACTGCAGTTAACTTGTCCAAACCAAATTGTGAATAGAAGGTTATATTTAACTAAAAACATGAGTTAAATTGTGTCAAAATTGCTAACTTTTGTTACGAGCAGGGTCGGAAATTAAAAAATCTTACTTGCTTAATGGTGTTTTATTGTTTTACCTTTACGGACTTCGGTCATGTTTATTTGTTGTTTTTGGTAGTCCATTTTCAACATCAATTTATTCTATCCGATTGTCCTAGGTTCTTCTAGAGTTCTAAGTTTTCTAATGAGCTTGTTTTATGCAGATTCTGTAACATGAACGATTTAATTTTCGACATATGTAAGTTGTTATACATTACTAAATTAAAGTGACGCGTTCAAAGTATGTTTATCTTATATAAGGCAAATCAGTAATGAGTATCGGAATCGGGATAAATGTACCCTAAGCCGATTAAACTATAAATTAAATATGTAATATCTATAAAAAATATTGTCCGATCGACAAGTCGAAAATATCGACAATCACACAATTTCGTATTTATAATTCATTATATTTTATCTCTTATATTATCCAAAATATATAACTTTATATATTTATAATAGCAAGATTTACAAATATTGATGTAACTTTTCTTTTCAGAATAAGTCAAGATGTTTCACGGAGGCATATGGAATAAGTTGCAGAATTTCTACAAGTGGTACGTGCTGGGTTTAGTGTCGGTTGGCTACATCCTCGGCGAGCTCGGCCATTATCTAATTGGTAAGTGATTTATATTTATTTTTATAAATGAGAAACGGCTCACCCTCGCTTCGGCCGGGTACGCCTTTAGGAAAACAAAAACAAACCTCAAAATCCGACGTGAACCCAACATTTTTTTTTGGGATAAAAAGTAGCCTGTGTGTTATTCTAGACTATAGTCTATATTTGTACCAAATTTCATCCAGATACGTTCAACCGTTCTGGCGTGAAAGAGTAACAAACATCCATACATCCATACACACACTTTCACATTTATAATATTAATTAGTATGTAAGTATGTATAATATAGATTTATATAGATTTAAAAAATATATATCTGACAATGGGGCTTAGAAAAGATCTAAAAACTATACAAGGTGGACGGAATAAATGATCGAGACAGAAGAAACGTACCTTTTATATGGAAAACATCAAGTTTTCTTCAAAAGAAACATTATTTAATTTTTATAAAATAAAATTAACTACATTTTATTAAGCTTACTTGAGCCAGTAATCGAACTAACATAAAAAAATAAATGTATATAAGAGACAAACATGCAGTTAAAACAGTTTTTCAATAAACAAAAATATTGCATAACAAAATACTAGATAGACCCTTGCAACAGCATTCTTGCGTCACCATAAAATTCACCATAAAATTGTGCAATTAGTATTAAAAAAGTAGAATAGATAAAAAAAATTGTAGTTCCTAAAGGGACATGGTCTCTATGATCATACCCTTTTTAAAAAAAAAATTATAGACCCTAACACCTCATCCTACCCAACAATTTAGTATTCCTTGTTGTGTGAAGTCGTTCAACATATTTTTTTAAAAAGCAATATAAATACGAGCACGTGTAACTATGTAAATTTTTATATAACCGGTCTCTAAAAGGTATACACAGGTACAGTATACTTGCAACAATTTATACATCCAAAGAGAATCTTTTTCTGATTGGATGAATTTCTATGGCACCTTATTCAAATGTGATAAAACAGGACAGCGGCTATAATAAAATATTACTGAGAATGGGATTAATATTTTATGCAAATATTTATTTACGACCCTCGGGATCCCAAACGTACATTCTTCGAGCGCATACATTTCTTAGTAAGTTATTTATTTAACACAGAATATTAGATTTCGTATAAAAAATTCATAGATTTATGTATTTTTAGAGATCCATAAACCGTACAACAAATAAAAAATTGGAACATTTATAGAGCTATCTATTTGTCCGTCAATTACAGTCTACTTTCTCTACGTACGGAAAATACATAAAATCATGAAAATTGGACGTAGTTTCAAGGATTTTGATTTTAGTGGTTATTTTGAAGCTCTGAAATAAGAAAATAGAAAAGCAAGTATTAAATGAAAGCTTAAAAGGGAATGATACATATTTTTATATACTTACTTAATTTTCATAATGCATTTTCAACTTATATTACTATATTAAAGAAAATATGTACGTATATATATATATATATATATATATATATATATATATCTGGCTTGTTTCATATATATGTCGACTCTAGAACATTATATTTATATTAAGATCACTTTTTCTAGTAAAAAATCCTATTCTGCATTGGAAGGACGTATCGCACAGTAAATTCTTAGTTTCGCAAATGTGACCTCGACCCAGTAAACTAGTCGAGGGTCGAATGCCAACGCGTAATGCGATTTGACTTCGTGACCAGCAAGCTTATTTCTACTCCACTTGAGCTTAACTTGTGGGTTACATCAGCCTTTATTTTTCTAACCTTGTTTATATATATATATCTGAATCTCGGAACCGGCTTCAACGATTTTCATGAAAAAATTTAGTATACAGAGGGATTCGGGGGCGATAAATCGATCTAGATTAGTCTTATGTCTGAGAAAACGCGTATTTTCAAATTTTCATGCCGTTTTCTTTCGCATTATTCCATGCAAAATATGGTCGATAATTTCGCACGCTCGGGCATTAGCATCATGGTCAAGCGGCCAAGGCGCTAGATCGACAATCATAGGTGTCCGGGTTCGAATCCCGGTCGGATACGAAGGTATAATTTGATTTAGCTTTTTGTATTTTTTAAAGAAAATTGTACTGTTGACTAAAAATTCCGAGCGAAGCTCGGTAGCCCAAGTACTAACATGAAAAGAATGGATCAATGCGTCACATTATTATACCACGACCACAATACCATAGGACCATAGGAATTAAAACCTATAACTTCCTGTGAAATAAAAACAATTAAACAAAATAGACTACCATAACAAGCTAAACTTAGTCTATCTAGTTCAAAGAACGCGAGGTTCCCGTCGAATCGCGGATAAGTTAGGTTCGAATTTGTGCAGAGAACGTTCACTACATACTCGTATATCAATACAGCAAAATTTATGACATAAATTATTAGCCATATAAAAAAACTTTATAAAATAAATTAATTGAATGAAATATCGATTTTTTATTCATCGTGATCAAAATATTTATCAATTTCCGCATATGACGTCATAATATAAAAAACCCAACGACATATGTTCAAAACTACTATTTATTTTATGATTACTCATATTGTGATTTATGATTTCTAAGAAATATTAATAAAATGTCGTCTACGCTTGGTACTTGGAAAGCCTCGTGGTAACTTAATTGGGACTGCCTAGTTATGCCACAGATATCAGATTCGATCCTATTTTAAATTCACTGTTTTTTTTTATATTTGCCACTCTGTAATAATTGCGTGTAAGTATACTGAAGGCACGCAATTTTCACATCGCACAGTTAAATATTAAAGTAAACGCGTATGAAATGTAGTGTAAAAAACACTTTGTTATTATTTCACTACTAAGATAAGATAAACAGTCATAGTTACAACTACAGATACTTAACGTAACGGCTAATGAAATGATGTCAAGAATACCAAATTGCATGCTAAAACGAAGTGCGCTAGGGTAGTTTACAAGGGATATTTAAAATATATGAATTTACAAATTATTAATGGAGATAGGTATGTGTTTGAAATTGTTAGTGGTGTTTTATTTTCCAGTACATACTAATATAATAAAAAATAAATTAAAAAAATACTTAAAAAAAGTTTTGTAATGATGCAAAGAATGATTAAGATTCAAGATTTATCGAAATTTCAGTGAATAATAACATTCTTACTAATATTATAAATGTTTGGATGTTTGTTAATCAATCACGCCAGAACGGCTGAACAGATCTGGATTAAATTTGGCACAGAGATAGATTATAATCTGGAATAGCACACCTATGTACCTATACAAAGATTTTTGTTCTTCTAGAGGCGAACCTGAGCGAAGGGAGGGTGAGATACTAGTAACAGATAAAAACGATAATAATTGCATAAGTAAATAAATTGTCGCAATAATTAACGCCATTCACCAGCGTAATTACTAAAAAAAATGTACATACAAAAATATCATTTAAAAACAAAAATATATCATTTAGTAAAAAAATAAAATTATTTGACAAAATCTCAGTAAGTAATTAAAGGTAAAAGAAATATGAGCACAGTGTTAGAGGCCGAGAGGAGTAAGGAAGCAAGAATGATTTGAGGTAACGTACACCAAAATGTCGACATCTTTGTAGGCTGGCTTTGGAGGTTCAAAAGCTGAGCTGAAAAGAAATTTAGTTTCTTTGAAAGAAATACGAACTCAGTGTTAACACGTGCCTTTTAGACTTTATATACAAGAGCACTTTTAGATCTGCATTTTATAAGATTTGTTGGTTTTTTGTCAGGAAAACCCAAGAATTATAGAAGGTAGTAATATATCACCCAGGCAAATACCTACTGTAGCTATTATGTATTATGCCTAAAGATCCGTAGGCTTGTTTTTTAACTTTGGGAAATACATTTACGCATACCACCTGTATACAAACAGGATATGTGGGACTTTCCGGACTAAAACCCAACGGAACCATCCCCGTCTTAATGAGGCGTCGCAGGATGGCTTAAGAACCGACGGCAGCCTTATCGAGACAAACCGCAAAAACCACAAGGGGTTGCTCTAACAGTTAACTCTGCTATCAAAGAAATACCTAGAGCAATCCACATGGCACACCGCCCACCGAGGTGCAAGGCTTAGAATGATCTGGGACTAAAACCCAGGACTCGTAAAATCGGTTATAATAAAGTGTACATACAGATTAAAAATAATTTCTAATTATAATTGTATTATTTCAGGTACCACATCAAAATTAACGGCGGAGGATTTACATTATGGCGATAAGTCGTGTATGTTGAACTTGACACATCATCTACGTCTCAGCCAGCTACCCGTTATATGCGAGAAGGTTAACACCAGTGATACGTGAGTAATGATGTGTATAACTAGCTTTGGTCCGCAGCTTCGCTTGTAGGAAAAATATTTTGTTTGTTTTATTTCTATGTTCTTGGTCAGCACTGGCTTTATCAAAAGATATTTTTAATTTGTATTTAACACACTTCAGACCGACGACACATTTGGCTCAGTTTTTAGTGACCCTACTGGGTGTGCCAGCGGTCATGGCTTCAGTCCCGCTGGTTTTAATTGTAATGAGCACGAATGTTTCACTCTAGGCTACTATAGTAGAATGTTTATATTTATAATATGTACATATTAAAAGTTATATATGTGTAGTGTATCAACAATCTGGTATCCATAACACAAGCCTCGTAGCTTACCATGGAACTAGATGGTGCTGTGTGTTAATGTCCCAACATATTTTTTTTTATTGTCCGTGTCTTATTTTGAGTTCTTTATTTGTTTGACTGTGATTATATATTAATGTTAATATTTGCACTCTTGCATCCTATTAAAGCTTTTGTAGGAAAACCACTCAAAGTCAATTTTATTACCAGAAATGGGCTTTATGGGATTTCCATTTATGATGTTGGTTTCAGTTTTTAAGATATATATTTTTTTATTAATTGTTAGAATATATTCTGGACTAAAACAGTCCTGCAGTACCTAGTCATGACTTTAAAAGTCGGTCTTTAATAAAAGTTTACTTGTTTAAATATAATTAAAGTTTAATTTCTTTCTCACATAAAAGCATTACCGGGATGAAAAGTATCCTTCCTATGCATTAGTCCAGGATATGTTCTATCTATATCCCATATTTCATTCAAATCTGATGAATGCTTAGCGCGTGGTGAGTCACAAACATTCAAATATCATCACCAACTTTCACATTTTGTCACCTTAATTTATTTTTAATTAAAAATTATTGGTCAATAAACTTAACAAGGAAATTCACAATGTATTACGTAATAAATTTTCTGTTTACTTTATTTTCAAAACAAAAACATGCGAAAGGGCAGCATGTGAATTTATTATTTATTCTGTACAACTAAATATGATTCTTTCTTGCCTTAAAAAGGGCTGGTCATGAACCTAACTTTTAACATCTTACTCTTTAACATAACGTTAAAGTATGAGAAAGTGTCGAAAACTACGAATTCCATTAACATTCTAAATAATTAAATAGACTCTAAACTGGTAATTTTATACCTTTATTTTAATATTTGATATTGCAGTTTCGCATATCAACTGCATGTACATACATACGTATATCTAAACTTGGTCCTTAATATCTTTAAAAATTATTTTAAAATAATAACCAATTTTCTCAACACGTTGACAAACCGCTGTGTGATAATTATCTATTGTTAGTATGCAGAATGTCCGCAAAATTTTCTGACTTGATAATCACTTAAAATTAATATATAATGTTAACCAAAAATTCTAAATTATAAAATAGGCTAATTTATTCATATTGCTAGTTTTAATTACTAGATACTGCATACTTTAAGGAAAACCGGTTCCTATGCTTCCTGAATATAAAAGCGAATTTGAAAATATAATATTATTAAAAAAAGTTGCTTTAAGCAATTTATTTTAATTTTAATTATGAAATCAAGTTCTGTACGTCCTGTCAGTAACATTAATAATAATTCAAATTATTTTTAATTCGATTCCTAAGTAGGGACTAAACGTGATTCTCGATGTATAGTAAGACACTAGCGACTCACACTCGCTTCGCTCGAGTTCCTGTTTGGTACGTTTTAACGGTTAGTATGAAATACAAATCTTGAAATTTCTCGACTTTTCTGTACTATAATATGCACGTATTATACATATAAACCTTCCTCTTGAATCACTCTATCTATTGCTGAAAACTGCATTAAAATCCGTTGAGTAGTTTAAAAGATCTAAGCGAACAGACAGCGGAAGCGACTTTATTTTATACTATGTAAAAATTAGTATATTTTTTGCAGCTACTGTGCTAGGTTATTTTTTGCAACTTATTTATTTGACGTTTCACGGAAAATACTTGATGTTTCAGGATAAAAAATAGCCCACACCACTTTTCAACAAATTATTGCATGAAGCTACCAACAAAAAAATAAATAAACTTTTGCAATAATAATAACATTAGTAAGAATATATGCAGAAATATTTGTTTTAGATAACTCATAATTACTAAATTGCTTCAACAACTTTAAAATGATTTTGGAGTGATTATTCCATTCGTTGAGATTTGAATTTTTTCTAAGTTAAAAACTTTATACCTATTCTATACAAATAAATAAGTTATTACTTTCATAGATTTACGCGAATATTTGAAATTTGAAATAAAACTATCTTTGCGGACTTTTTCGCGGATTTGTTTTGATTTTTGGATCCTGATGACGAATGCTTTACAAACCTTAGTCTCTCCAGGTGCGGATCCAGAGTTAAATTGGGGGGGGGGGGGGTGGTGTTGTGACGGTCCTAGCCTGAAATGTACATATAATAAAATAGTAACTTAGCAAAATCTGTACATGAAATATTTTTAAAAACAATGACTTTAAAAAAATAATCAAGACCTTAAGTTTTATGGCTTTAAAACTTTAGCAGGTATATAAGGAATAAAAACCCGTAAAACGCCCCCGCTGTCCAGCTACCCCCAATTGTCGTAATTGACAAATATCTAGAGGCTAGAGAGAGGAGAGAGGAGATGACATGACATCTTAAGATGAGGCTTTAGCTTCAACCATTAGTTTTTATATCTTTCAAGACTTTCCGAATAATTCATAAATCTGCATTTTATTAATACACTACTGTAAAAAATTAAAAAATCGAAAAAAATTTGGCCAATAAAGTACACTTTTTCAATGATTATAAAAAAATGTAATTTACAAAGTAAAACTTATCGATTTCTCCAGTTTTTATTTTTTATTTTTAAGGCTGTTTTTACAGGACGACCGTACAATGTTTTTATTTCTTCAAAAAGTACAGTGCAAGATGAAAAAATGAGCCCTATCTGAAAACTGAACGACAATTTTTTTAAATGTAAACTCCACTTGAAATTGGGAGTGATTTTAAGCCTCCCGAGACCATACAATATAAATTTCTCGGAAACGGCTAAACATTTCAATTTCAAAAAATTGGTTATTATATGTATTTTGAAGATTATATTCCTCTAGTTTCATGAATATCAAAAAGATTTTGCAGACATTAAAAATAATAAAAAAGTACAAGAAAAATTAAAGATCGTTTTTTTTTTTGGAAATATGTCGAAAACTTTGAGGTTATTGTAAAAGTCGTAGCTTTTTACTAGACCTACAACTTTTGTAAAGAATATTTTTCGATAAGATGTCACAACAAGCCAGAAATTGAAAAAAAAACAATTTTTAAACGGTTTGCTATACTTGTCTTGTTTGCTATAAACGTCTTAAAAACATAAAACTTCCGGTTTTAATTTTTTGTGTAGCACATCGCGATCGGACTATTTTATAGCGCTATTTAAATTAAAGAAAAACTTAATAACGAATAAAAACTTAATTTGTTTCGAATTAGGTACTTAAAAAAAAATTATTATTCCTTCTTTTCTTAGACTTCAAACTTCTCAAAAAAGTATATTTGGCTTTTGCATGACCCCCTAGACCTAGATCCGCGCTTGAGTCTCCCGTGACCGTAATTTCTGTAAAGCATTCGAAACGTTAGAAACCAAAAACCAACTCGCTCTTAACTATTTTTTATAAAAAAAAAATATACATAACTTTTATGTCACATTGAAACTGTCTTGAGGTGAAAAAATAATTCCCAAGGTATTCTTCTTTATAATATACAATATAAAAAATATGCCTCATTGAACAACAGTTGTTATAATATATACATGTTATCCAATTCATTTGAAACGAGATTTAATAATGATCGTATGAAGTCAAGGCTGAGGCCCTAAAGTTACTAAATTTTTTTTTATTAGATACATAACATTAATAAAATATTTCTTGTAGGTACGTGTTTTATAATCATTCGTTTAATTTTCATTTTATTATAACAGCTCTGGCTTATTAAATAGCTAAAGATTTTCACTAAATTAAATTATAGAGACAAATATAAATATTATGTTAAATTATGTTTACCAACTTCGAAAAGAGGAGGTATTCAAATCGTCTTTTTTGGGTATGTTGTGCGATATTTTTGGGATAATTTGAGGAAATCTAGACATCATAACTCTTTTTTTAGTGGACAGGTTTGAAGGGGTGTACCAAATTTCTTTTTAATTTTTTTAAGTTGTTGTTTCGTTATTTTATTAACAAGTCGAGTCGAGTTGATTATTTCTTCTATACCTATAAGATCTTCTAAATTTTAATGTATTTATAATACTAAGCTTTTAGCTTTCATTTTTCCCAAAATATGAAAGACGAACAAGAGCATTCTTTGTGCTTAATATGAACCTATAAAACTTCGCCGCCACCCAAATTGAGATAAACTTACAGAGATCTAAAATATGTCTCTTGTGGGAAATATGAAAACTTTATTAACACGCATTGTCACTTTATAAAATAACCCATATTCTAGTTAAGTACGCGAAGTTAGACTAAGCAAGTCATACAAATATGAAACTTTAATCATTATGTGGGCAGTTTCTGACATCTATTCAAATACTTGAATATGATGAAATAAAATTGTCTGTTTGTAATGTCAAAATAACAGCTTTTTACTAAGTTCATATTATTATGAAAGTTATACATAGGTACAAGGTAAAAAAAAATGTCTGTCTGTTCGTTCCGGATAATCTCAGAAACGGCTAGATTGATTTTGATGGAACTTTTACTGAAAAATAGCTGATTTAATAAGGATTAACTTAGGTCTTTATTTTAGAAAAAGAAGTAGGGTTCCTCGCAAAAAATTAAAACCCATAAAATTGTGAACAAAATCCGCGTACCTAGGGACGCACTCGAGTGAAAGTAGGGTAAGTCGCTAGTTTATAATAAACTTGGCTGTAAAACATTATTGAAGCGTCACCAGCGAGATAGAACGTCTTAATTAGCAATAAATTGAAAACAATGAATGGCAACATTCATATCAATTAAGGGATCTATATAAAAATAGATTGTAATTAATGATACTAAACATCTTAAAGTATCTCGTTTGATATGGTTGAGACTTATTAGTTTTACTTCTATCAAAATAATAGAACACTTTGCACGTATTTATTGTATATCTATATCTATTCGAGATAGAATAAAATTTTAATAATATATTCCAATTTGACAGACACAAATTCCTAGGTTTCAGGCAATCAATACATAGATGGAGTATAAAATATATATTTTTAGTTTTTGTTTAATCTTTAATAGTAATTTGCATGGTTAGAAATTAGAAGTCATATAGAGGGCAATTGTCTTAAATAAAAAAATATATTATAAAAATTAAAAAAACCCATACTGCATAAAAGTTAACTAAAAAGATGAAAACAAGATGACGAAGGAATATAGTGTTGTGCAGTCGGAGACATACACGTTTCATCCTGGCCGCAAGATATATGCACATCCACATACATACATACATACACAAACGCGCACACGCACACAAATGCACATACAGACACACTCACACACACACACTCCCAGCCACATATACATATACATACACTGATAAACACATTACCCTCCCGTGCGTCGCGCAGTCGGGTAAAAATAAGGTTATTACTGTATATTATTTTGAATATAAAAGAAATATACAGTAACATTTTTGCTTAAGTATTTCGACGCGTCGCAAATACCTAGTTATGACATGTCTCTAATAAAAATGTAATCTAATTTTTCTTCACATCAAATTTTTACTACAAAAGGATTCAATTTGCTACGGCTTTGAATGTACGGAGTAATGATATAGATGTCATATGAAGTATATTTGTATCGTAATTTTGCGAAGTGTGGCAAAATTACGACTTTTAATTTTCTATTTGGTTTCGTAAGCATGGGGTCCATAATCCATATAGCATTTTCTTTTTTTTGAGGTCTTGTCATGGGTCAGGAGAGTGCGACATTAATGAAACCGTATTTTTTATTTTATAACACGAGGTGCACTTGCACTCCCTGTCATAAAATAAAAAAAAATATATAAAAAAAATTAGATATAGAATTATCTGCGAAAAAAAGATAAAAAATATTCCTAACAAACATTAAAAAAAATATTATATATACATGAATAATAGTTATAAAGTTAATTATTTAAATATGAGTTAGTAGTTTCACCTCTCCTAGATATAATAATTCTGCCGCCGTTAATGTGCATCAATTAATTTAAGTTTCTAAGAAATCTATTATTAACTGTCACGCCGGCGTGTCCGCGGTTGTGGAGGGACTATCTTGCTTCCCCATACAAACTTTCATCCCCATTCTCACCGCCTTAAAGGGTGATTTACGGAATAAAAACTATTTTACTCACTATCTTTTCATATCTTGAAATTTAAAAGAAATCTTATTTAATTCATTTTTATTTATTTTTTATTTTCTATACAAAGCTTGCCCTGACAATAACGAACACAAAAAAAAGAATTATCCAATTTGGTGCAGTCGATCGGAAGTTATGCGCGTACATATGTTGATTTCGGGGATTCATTTTTATTTATATAGCTAAAATAAAAATACAAACGTAATTTTAAACAATCGCAATACATAAATATATAATTAACAAACACAGGCATCTACTATCTTGTGACATTAATTTACTATAAACAACCTATCAAGGTTACTTAACGTCCGTTAAATTAGTTAAGTGAAGAGCTTAGTCATATCGAAAAGAATTGGTTCGAACTTGACCATGAAGCCATTCGAGGTAAAACTTATTATAAAATACAGTTATATAAATAGATACCTTTATATTATTTTATTATGCCTAATGAATTGGTAACAAAGCTCAAGGTTCTAGACGTAGAATTTTAGTTAATACATAGTAGGAGACTAAACAGAGCCTAAAGCATAGAAAAGTAAATAAATAATTTACATAAACTAATAACCCGACTGCGTAAAAGTGATAAGAACAAGTTGACGGAAAACCGTAGTATTATGCTGTCGGAGACATACATATGGTGTACACCATATGCATTCGCCGCAGTTGGATAAAAAATATATAATAAATTTTATTTTTAATGCCTTGATTTCTCAAACACGTTTAAATAATGATATCAACGGTAATAATTTACATAATGGATAATTTAGTAAGAAAACTATTTTAACTTTTATCTTGCTTTATATACATATATTGTATTCAGCCCTTTTTAACGTCCTACTGGTGGCCTCCCTTCAATCATAATATAATAATTTCGTAACTAAGCCAAATCTGTACATTAAATATTTTTTGGAAAATCTTATTCAAATAGACTTATTATCTTATTATATTTATTATCGATACGGAGGGCGAATCTATAGTTTATAGAATTTTTGTCTGTCTGTATGTCTGTTACCGCATCACAGAAAAACCACTGGAGGGATTTTGATGAAATTTGGTATGGGGATAGCTGGTTATCCGCGTCAAGATATAGAATACTTTTTACCGCGGGAAAATGTCTTATTTGTGAGAAAAAATACAAAAACTGCAATGTAACAGTATGTAATATAGCAGCGAAAAAAAGATTCTTGCCTTTTAAATAATTTTAAATAAAACTATCTTTTCGGATTTTGTCGCGGATTTATTTGCATTTTTGTTTCCCGACGTTTCGAATGCTTTACAGCATCCATGGTCACGGGAGAGACTGAGGTGTTACATGTCTTGAATGTATAGTTGTTACAGACAGCCTACCCACAATTAACAAAATGAAAATTGCACCAATTACATTACAATATTTTTTAACTTTAAACATTTTTATAATTTTAATTATAATTGAATATGGAAAATTATTTATTTAATTTTTGATATTATTTTTATAATTATTACAATTTTAAAATATTAATTAGTAATCTATATTTAGTGTTGCCATTATTATATTTATAACCATAAAGAAAAATATAAAATATAGTATTAATTATTTAAGCCATATAATTGTTCTATGTGTAATTTAAAAAGTTAAAATTAATTAAGGATAATAATTTTAATTTAGTTTGCTATTATTTAAAAACAATTTACTAAGCAACACTATTAATATATACTTTTACAAATGAAAAATGAAAAATATTAATCTGATAAGCTGTCATTTTGATCTACACAGTATGAACTTACTACATCTGCCTGTCTGTTATGTTTATATTTATTATTTGATTTTATTATATTAATAACAGGATCCCATGACGATGGTAGTACCCAGCCATCTTCCCTATTGAAATTAGGATGTTTTTTAATTTCTATGGCTTCTCGAATCATTCTAGGGCGATATCGGTTTTCTTTCGCCAGGATTTGAGGTCTATCGAAGCGAATATAATGGCTTGGGCGGTCCTGACTATGTTTGCAGACAGCAGATGTTGTATTGCGACGGTGCTTCACATCAGCTATGTGTTCTTTGACCCGGGTTCTAATGGATCTCTTTGTTTGTCCGATGTAAGAGAGCCCACAATCACAATCAAGCTTGTAAACTCCTGCATCTTGTAGAGGGATGTGGCACTTGACAGGTGGTAGAAACTGACTAATTTTCTTTGGCGGCTTGAAGTAAGTTTTAATTGAAGCTCGCTTTAGGATGTAGCCAATCTTGTCAGTGACGCCTCTCATGTAAGGTAGGACTGCAGGGACGCGCTCGACTGTGGCTGGTTTCACTCGGTCCCTGTGACGTAGGCGCGGCACTTGCAGCTTGTTGTCTCGCAGAACTTGCTTGACATGTTGCAGCTCTCCGGCCAGGTGTTGCTCGTCACAGATCCCGCGTGCCCTCTGAAACAAGGATTTTCCCACGGTAGCTAACTGTGAAGGGTGGTGGTGAGATTCACCATTCAAGTACCTATCGGTATGGGTCTTCTTTCGATACACAGTATGACTCAAGGTGTTATCTGGGTTACGTATAACTAATACATCTAATCTTGCCTTATCTGAGAATAACTTATTTTACTATTCAAAAATGTGTAAATGTGTAGATTTAAAAAATATTTTGTTCTTACATTAATTTTTATAATCCTTTTGATTATCGTATCTTGTTTCAATACAAGGAAGTCTCAAGTGCTAACTACATACGTGTATAATGCTTTTTTTCTTCAGTTGGTCAACAGTTTTTTTTGTTTAGTAGCTATTGACGAGCTTTTTGCTAGCAATGTTTCTTGTAACAGTTTTTTATATATATAGGCCAATTCTATTCATATATGATCTCCTTTCCTTTTAATGGTTAAATGTCGACCTCTGGGTGAACTCTAGTAAGTCATAATGGAGGAGAAGTACCCGTAACTAAAAATAGGGTTGACAATAATATAATACATGTAAAAGTTTAAATGTTTGGATGTTTTTTATTCAGTATGGCTGACCGGATCTGTATGAAATTTGGCACAGAGATAGATTATAGTCTGGAATAGCACATAGGTTACCTTTTATCCCATAAAATGTACGGTTCCCGTGGGATAGATTTGATTTCGTTGTTCACTAGGGACAAACCCGAGCCAAGCGAGGCGATTCGCTAGTCTTTTTATAAAATATTTAAAGGCTTTGCATTTTAAATTAATTTAAGTGAAATCAACAAAAGTATTAAGTTCTTATTAACTATTATTTATAATGTTATTTATTGTTTTCTTAGTTAAAAAAACTTGTTTGTCTACATTTAAATCCACAGTACAATGTATATACTAGAGTCTAGACTCTATAATATTAAGTATACAATAAAAACAAAATGGATCATTTAAACGTGTATTTTTTTCAGATGCGAGTCCCTCACGCTCAACGGTACGAGATATTGCGATTGGGGTTATAATGGTCTGGGGATCGATTACCAAGTGCTGGCAGGACCGGTCTATATGGCGGTGTTCACTGTCGTTGGTATTATAATAGGAGTGGCCGCAGATAAGTAAGTAATAAAAAGATTAACTGCTAAATAACACTTATCCCTTATACAACTTATTCATATAAAATCTTTTTCAAATTTTTTCGCGGATTTATTTTGTTTTTTGGTAAGAGTATACTAATATGTAAAACCTAAAAATTTGGTTTTAGGTCATCTGAACTCGGGCGGAGTCGCGGGCAATGCTAGTTTACTATAAATATAACAGTCTTTCATTTTGAATAAAACTGTCTTTTCGGATTTTGTTAAGGTGTTATTTTGACTTTTCGATCATGTTTCGAAAACTAATTACTGCAAAATGTCAAAGTAAAACTGGGACAAATATAAAATGTTTTTTCTTGGTAGATATCGCTTGGTAGAGCATCGCTTGAGAACGGCTGGAAGGATTACGTTATTTTTTTATTATTTGTAAAAGCTGGAATAAGGTTTTAATAAGGAGAGGATAGGATAAGCTCATGGACGAATGTGGTTAATTCGTTCATGGATAAGCTATTCGAGAAAAACTAAAAGTGCTTTTGCTTATAGGATTTTCGTACTCAAAGATCACGAAATTTATTTTTCATTCCATTTTATAAATTCATTCCAATTACCTATTCTAACTTCAGTTTAAAGTAATTATTGAAGTGAAACCTTCTATAGGCATTTGGATGGGGAGTGAATTCATGTACGTACGACATGGTCACGTGACGTGTTAACACTAACACTCAGAGTGCCGATAGATGTCAAAACCAGATAAATGTAAACAGTTTTAATATACAAATTTTAATTTAAGATCAAACAATTAATTTGAATATCCAAAAATAACAACTGTTTGTTTATATTTTTAAGTTTTCACTTCTGTCGGCAGTCCTCATGACTGCTTTTATTATAATCTTTTTTTTTTCTTCTAGATTCAATAGAGCAAGAATCCTTGGTTTCTGCACATTAGTTTTTGTGATAGCCATTCTTTTGATGGGCTCTGTGAAAGAGTACTGGCATCTCGTGCTGCTGAGAATGATCATGGCAGCAGGCGAATCCGGATGTAATCCGCTAGCTACTGGAATCCTGACTGATTTATTCCCCGAACACCAACGAGCATTAGTGCTGTCAATATTCAACTGGGGTATCTATGGCGGTTATGGGATTGCGTTTCCCGTGGGACGGTACATCCCAATTTTGAATGCCTGGGGATTGGTAAGTTATTTTGGATTTTTAGTGTAATATGTTAGACATAATTAAATTCGTGATCAGTAGATTATTTTGAGCCTCGTAGTTATCTTAAATGATCCCCATTTATATGGGGAAGGGCTTGTAGAGTTTTAGTATTGACTTTTTTGTTTGTACCTGTAATAATGCAGATTTTCACTCAATTACCTTAAGCCGTTAAAGACGAAACAAACATACATTTTTTCAGTACTTATGATATTAGTATGATATTAACAATAATAAATATAATTTCAGAGATGGAGAGTGTGTTACTACGGCGCAGGTATCGTCGGTCTGGTAATAGCAGCATTCACGTTCCTCACTCTTCGCGAACCTGCAAGAACTACTATTGGAGAAGAAGGTATGTTCTATAAGGACACATTTTTTAGACCTAATTGACATTGCCTTTACTTTAGGCTGGAGGAAATATCAATTTTAAAGAAAACTTTATTTGCTAAAAAAATACAGAATAACAAAAATATGGCTTATACAATATATATGTGTATGTTCAGCCCTTTTTAACGTCCCACTGCTGGGCACGGGCATCCCTTCAGTACGAGGGGTGTTAGGGTCCTGGTGGACGTTAAAATAAAAAGTGGACTGTATAATAAAATTATATTTAGGCTGGTACAATCGTCGTTTAGTCGTTACAATTGAATAGGGAGGACGAATTTAGTTATTTGAAGTCGTCTTGTCGCCACGGGTCTCAAAAGGGAGTGAAGTGCTCCGTCATGTAATGGCCGCTCGTCGTGGCTGTCGATGGTGGGGCTGCGACCGCGGCCCGCCGGTGTCCACTGTTGCGTTTTACGCAACAAGGGGAATCAGGCCATAGTCCACCTCGCTGGCCAAGTGCTGGTTGGAGGACTTCACATGTCTTTTGAAAAATTGCTAGGTTCTCTCAGACATACAGGTTCCACACGATGTTTTCCTTCACCGTTAAGACAAGTGGTAATCATGTTGGAAATGATTCGCACATGAAAATATCAGAGCTGCGAGATCCGGGATTTGAACCCACTTCACTCGGTTTCCCAAGCGAGCGCGTTACCACTGGGCTACCACAACTTTATACAATATATACAATATATATGTATGTACCTAATACTTAATAATAATAAGTGAAGTCATTTTTGGGTGGAAATTGGAATTGTGGTAAGAATGCTAGCTGCATTCCTCCGTTTAACTATTTAAGCGTAAAAGTTTTTTTGGCCAATGAAGGATAATATCTTTTAAAAAAGTTTTTAGCAAGAGCAAGCTTTTAATACTCCTGTAAGAAATATAGATATGACATTTTTTTAATTTCAAGCAATTACTTTAATTTTTTTAATTATAATAATACTAGAAGAACCCGCGGCTTCGCTCCCGCTAAAATTACAAAAAAAACTAAGAAGGTAGGTTTCATACAAACTTTCATCCCCTACTTTACCTCCTAATTAATATAACGAATTTCAAAAAATGTCAATGTAAAACACGGATTTATTTAATTGTATTGAAGAACATTAATACTAAGTTTCAAGTAATTCCGATCATAATTATTTTTTTGGGTTGTATTATAACGTGGAAATGAGATAAGCTCCCGCGGTAAAAAGTAGCCTATGTCACTCTCCAACTATTTCCTCACAAAAAATCCACGCCAATCCTTCACTCTGTTTCGACGTGAAAGAAGGACAAGCAAACAAACAAGACAAACTGTCACATTTATAATATTAGGCATGGATAGCAAAATAAAACTTATTTTATATTATTTTATACAACAGATGCAGGTAAAGCTAAAAGGGGAGACTCTACGTTGGAGGCCGGAAAGAAAATGCCGCAAGTGACCATCTGGCACGTTATCGCTCAACCGAGGATTTTACTTCTGTGCTTAGCTGCTTCTATTAGACATTGCGGTATGTTTTGTAGAAAATATTATTATTTTTAACCGACTTCCGAAATTTAATGAACATAATTATTTTTGACCGACTTTTATGATCTTCTTCTTCTTCTCGTGTCGATGGCAACTTTTAAATCGAATCAGGTCAAAACTCAGCCATGATTGTCTTTTATGATGAAGAGAATACTACTATCGTCTGTGTGTTTTGGTGAGTGGGGCGATTTTCATCACTCTCTTTTCAATTGGTTATACACCTCAATCGTCTGATATTTTCAGTACGGGCGACCAAGCTTCGTGAAGCGTTTTGTTTTATAATATATTTTTTCAGAAAAGTGATCAAAATAACGTTTTCTTTGGAAAAAACACCTACCTATATAGATAAACTTAAAAAATAAAACCTTATCTAAACACAAAATTTGATCCAAAGCCGTTTCCAACATATACGAAAATAAATTCATATACATACAAGAATTGCTCATTTAATAATGATAAAAAAAATTCAACTCGTAAGTCAGTGTACCTTTTCTAATATAAAGTACCTATCTAATTATTTTGTAATTTCGTTGTATATTACAAAAAGAATGATAAATAAGCATACGCACGATATATTATTATTACGCATTTGTTTTTTACTCAATATTTTTATTTCTCGTGATTTTATATGAATATACATTTTGTTTTACGGTCGAAAGCTTTCATAAACTTAAATATGTATAGATAAAGCTCTATTTTATATTATTTTTCTTAAATATCCCAATATGCCCAAAAATTCATGCTAATATGAAAGTTTGTGAGGATGGTGATGGATGTTTGTTACTCTTTCACGCCAGAACTACTGAACGGATCTGGAAATTTGGCACACAGATAGATTATAGTCTGAAATAGCATATAGGTTACTTTTTATCCCGGAAAAATATACGGTTCTCGTGGTTTGTTGTTGTCTGGGGACTAGGGACGGTTGGTGTTGTCTAGGGACGAACCCGAAGCGAAGCAAGTGTGAGTGGCTATCTTCTTAAATATATAAAGTTCTCGTGTCACAGTATTTGTAACAAAACTCCGCCGATACGGCTTGACCGATTTTTATGGAACTTTTCGTGTATATTCAGTAGGTCTGAGAATAGGACTTTAACTATTTTTCATACTCCTAAGTGATAAGAGTGGTCCACCCCAAACAAAAACATTTTTTGGACATTTTTTTTTATGATTCGGCATTAAAAAGTATGTACATACATATAAACCAAAATTTTCTAAATTATTTATAAAGATGAGCATACGAGTTTTTTGCTATTTATCTGTAGTTTACTCAGAACTGATTACAAAAATAAATTACACTTGCCTGATATATTTTTTAAGTTAATTTAATTACGGGAGATAAATGCCTCTTGTGTGAATAGCTAATGGAAATTGTAAATTATTTTTGTTATTATGCTATTGTTTTATTGCCAAAAAAAAACATAATATTGTTTATGAGTTAAGTTAATTAAATTAGGTATTTCTTGTTATTGTAAATATTTTTTTTTGGGTAATTTATTAAAACCGGCCTCAAGACTCTTTTGGGTTTTATCTTTATTACAATTCCATAGGTATTACTGGTTATTTGTTTTCCTTAGCGTCTGTTTTCGAAACTAAATACAGCAGCTAAACTTGATAAAACATGTAAATTCACATAAAAACACAGTCCTCTTTTTATGAACTCAGTCAAAAGAGGTGCAATAATTGTTTAGAGTTGAATTTTAGCTTTGAGTTTAATTCTTATGTATTCAACCCTTTTTTTCCGTCCCATTGCTGAGTACAGGACTCTCTTTATACAGGTCAGTCCACCATGCTGTTTTCTCAGACATGCAGATTTCCTTACTATGTTTTTCTTTGCCGAAAGACACTTGTGGTTATCATGGAAATGATTCGCACATGAAAATACCAGAGGTGCGAGGCCCTGGAATTGAACCTGTTACACTCGAATTCCCAAGCGAACGCGTGACCTCTGGACTATCGCTGCTCCTATTAATTCTTATATATACAATTAATTATATCTAATGTTAAGGTGGTATGACATTCGCGTACAACGCTGACCTGTACTACCGCGACTACTTCCCCGACGTGGACCTCGGCTGGTGGCTGTTCGCCGTGACGGTGGGCATCGGCTCCGTGGGCGTGGTCGTTGGTGGTGTTATATCTGATAAGTAAGTAGTGATGAGATATGAGAGATATGAGATAATTTAGTTTATCTATTATGGTTTTTCTAAAAATGTTTACTTTGAAGCGAGTACACGCTAATGGACGGACAAACAGCTTAGTAATAGAACTGATGGCTAATTTTGAATTCTTGGTTAGGGCAAATGCTATGTACCTATACACGTGTAATGAAATGCATATAAGAGAAATTTTGAAAGGTAAATAAGATATCTATAAAAATATTAATCTAATTGTGTTTTATATTATGTATCTTGTGTGTTGTTAACGAAAATAAATAAAATAAAAACAACCACAGATATTCCATACAAATAAATTTTACAACTACCTTAATTCGAGTTGTTTTTCAGGCTATTTCGTGTTGCTGAACTAGCGGTAAAAGGCGCTTGTTATACTCGTATATAAAAATGTGTGAACTAATATGAGTAAAATATAGGAAAACACAAAAAACCAATCCAATTTTGAGGACTTATTATACAGATAATCGTGATAAACAGCTCATAACATGGAAACAACGCCATCTATGAATACGAAACACAAACTAATTACCTCCGATTAATTAATTTAACATAATTTACTTAAAAAAGGTATTTTGTTACAGATTCGTATCGAGAATGGGTGTCAGATCTAGAGTGTTGGTTCTTGCGTTGTCGCAACTCATAGCAACTCTGCCCGCTTTCGGCTCCGTCGTGTTCGGGCCGCTGTGGGCGATGATCACTCTCGCTTTCTCTTACTTCTTTGGTAAGTTTCTTTATTAACATAACTTCTTCTTCAACGTCTCTACTTCTTATTTTTTTGTGGGTATGTATGTACCCAAATAAAAGTATAAACATATTATGATGAAACTGAAATAGAAACATTTTAAGTGATTTTTAAGTCGACATTGACTTACTAAAAATGATATGCATATTCTAATTTTTATTTATTAATTATAAATAAAAAAATCCGTATTAATTGCACCTCCAGGAAAATTTCTAAGATATCTATTGTTAACTGTAGCCCCGGCGTGTTCGCGGTCGTGGAGGGATTAATGTTGTAGAATTGTGTGTATGTTAATCAGTTCTTCTTTCACACAGTTACGGAGCTATGATATATGTTATCCATGTATATGTATTTTTATCTCGATATCTTAAGTAGATCCCGTGATATATTAGTATGTTGTATTTGGGATATGACTATTAAAGACCATAAAACATATTCATATATCTTATTTTCCAGCTGAGATGTGGTTCGGAATAGTATTTGCTATACTAGTAGAGATCGTGCCTCTGTCTGTCCGTTCTACGACTGTGGGTGTGTTCCTCTTCGTCATGAACAACGTGGGTGGAAACTTGCCTATTTTGGTCGATCCCGTGGCGAAGGCGATCGGATACAGAGAAGCTCTTATGATATTTTATGCTGGTTTCTATGGCCTCAGTAAGTGGTTTTGAATTAAAAAATTATTATTTTTTTGTTTGGCAAGTAACAATAATTTAACAGCCTTACTTTGAGACTATTTTTGCATAGTTCTTTAACTTCAAGAGTTATTAACTACTTTTATATAATCTGTATTTTTATTTATATAATCTGTATTGAAAAAGTATGTCAAATTTTTTTTTTAACAGGTAGCATATTATTCTTCCTAACAATGTTCCTAATGGACGGTGCAGTTGAAGTTAAGCCAGAAAGCGAAGACAAACCCAGTGGTCTCGACAATAGAGCTTATTCACATGATGACGAGATAAGGAATAGTAGAAACGATACGATTAGGTTATAAATTCAAAGGTATAAATAAAACTTAAAGGTCAAATATACGTCGCAGAACCCACTGTCGATGTTAACATGTTTGGTTACATTTTATTTGGTCAGTGTTTTAATTATTTTTTCTGACAACACGTTATAAAAAATATTGATAGTTTTATACAAAAAAATTAACAACTTAAAGCCAAGTCTTTTTTGACAGTTTGCGGGTTATGCCACTTTGACATAGAATTAATTATTTAGTTAATTTTGTTAACTGAATTTTAGCATTGTCGAGGTAGTGCCTACGCACTATTATTTTGTTTTACTAGGTTAGGTTGTGACTTATGTTGTTATTTGACCGCCTTTGAAATAGTGTTATTGTTTTTATTTACTTAATCTTAGTATGTAGTTTCACAGATGCGTCTTTGCCCAGATAATTTGTTTCTCAGTGGTTAATATTTTCATTAGATTTTTTCTTAAAATCCGATTTTTTATAAATATATTTTTAAATAAACCTATGTTTTCGGGTTTTTTCACAGATTTATTTAGATTTTTGGTTCCCGACGTTTCGAATGCTTTACAGCAATCACGGTCACGAATCAAAAATCAAAATAAATCCGCGAAAAAAACTGTTTTTTATTTGGGAAATTTTTTGCACTAACACTAAGTATCATCATTTATATTACTCTTCCTAAGACTTTACTTTACTCTTTAGCTCTCAATAAACTTATTATAAAAATGTGCTCCATTTTTTAAATATAAACAATATTCAGGGTACCGAAATAAGTTACATGACAACAGTATGGTTATTGATTTCATTTTAAAAGCTGATTTTCTATCAGACGATTATTAATCGTAGATAAATTACATACAAGCGTTGTATAAATAAAGGAATATTTAGTTGTGCCACTTTTGTATTCAGTTAGGTTGAACATTTATTTCGTGAATAACCTTTATGTAGTGATTGTTTAATCAGCTTTTAATCTATTACGTACATATTTACAAGGGTATAATATTAAACAAAACACTTTTAATGACAATTCAATATACCAAAGCTGCCGAAGAAGTTATTGTATTCTTAGATGATTCTCGGCATAGGTATGCTCAAAAATATTATCTCATTTTTTAATTGAAAATATGAACAATAAGACTGGCTGAATAATTTAGCCTTAATATTTATAAATATGCCAATTATTTGTTTTTTTTTCTAATCTTCTTCAACAAAGCGATGGCTTTGCGTGGCTACGGCTTAACCATTGTTGATTGGTTAAAATAATTCCCAAAGGATAAAACTATATTACAATATTTTTAAAGTTTTTTTTATACTGTATGTGTTAATTTTTTTTCTAGACATGACAATATTAAAATTACAATAAAATACAAAATGGATTTACGAACTTTTAAAAAAGTCTTAATAAAACTCCACCATACCCTACTACGTTTCCTTTAAAGAGTAAGCAATGAACGTACAATTGTTTTAATTTAAACCATAGATTAAGTTTTTAGTTATTTATTTTAATTTACTTTAAACATCTAAGCATTAAGAAAATAAGTTTTTGTTTCGTTTTTTTTATTCCTGTCTCGGCAATAAAATTAATACGTTACTACGCTTGTCATCATTAAAAGCAGTTAATTGTGATAATGTAATTTGTAAATATTTTTTGTGAATGTAAATAAAGAATTTGTTAATATTTAAGGAGTTTTTATATATCCTTCCTTATATTACGATGACCTTCGGCGTTTCCGCACTTCTTTTTTCTAGAATAAATTAAATACTTTTTCTACAATAAATTATGTGTATGTATGAAGTGCCACTGCTATTTCTTTTATTTTTCGTATTGTAATTATAGACTTGTCTAGCAGATTACATAAGACATGTAATTATCTAATTTTCAACAATATACTTTGATATTGTTCATTTTCTTCAATAGTTTTTGGGAAATAAATTATAACATATAGACAGACGGGCATGACGAAATTATAAGACTTCTGATTTTGCTTTCTGGTGATGAAACCTTAAAAAACCTTTAAAAAATAGATATTTAGCGACCCATGATATAAAAATACATTGTCAATTGTAGCCTGTTAGGTCTAACAGTATGATATGACAGCTTTTTTTTATGTAGGGGAGCCCAAGAGGGGATTTTCTGTAGTTACTCGAGCGCGGCAGATTAACATAAAAGAGGTTACCTTGCACTCTATTGAGTACTTTCACCACAATATAAGTCTTCTATATAAAGGGGCGCGTCTAGGGAAGCCGATTAAAATATTTAAAAAATGTTTTGATAAGGTAAATCTACTTGAAACCGTCAGATTAAGGTGTGGTAGGCTAGTCACATCCTGAAAAGTATCCAATTTAATAATCTGCCGATTTGCACAAGCCTAAGAGATCATCATAAACTTTATAGTCGATTTTTGCCTCTTCGGCTTGTGAAAATCGGCAGATTATTGAATTGGACACTTTTCAGGATGTGACTAGCCTACCACACCTTAATCTGACGGTTTCAAGTATTTCTACCTTATCAAAACATTTTTTAAATATTTTAATCGGCTTCCCTAGACGCGCCCCTTTATATAGAAGACTTATATCATGGTGAAAGTACTCAATAGAGTGCAAGGTAACCTCTTTTATGTTAATCTGCCGCGCTCGAGTAACTACAGAAAATCCCCTCTTGGGCTCCCCTACTATTAAGACAGGGCACATTTTTTTATTTTAAATTTTATCAATTAAGGTGTTAAGGTCATTTCAATTCAGGCTTATAATTGTACCACTTTATTATAACCACCACATTGCTGTATACTTCGCCAAAGTCACTTAAACAGAGAAGGCACTAAGAAAGAATATCGTTTTTACTATCTAAATAATATTAAAGATAGCGATAAGGCCCCTTTTGCACATCTCTTATAAATAGTATTTATTTTTTGTATGTACCATTTTACTGTGCAATAAAGTGTTTAAATAAATAAATCTTACTAATATTATAATAAGTTTAGATAGATGTTTGTATGTTTGTTAATGAATCACGCCAGAACAGCTGAACGGATCTGGATGAAATTTGGCACAGAGATAGGTTATAGTCTGAAAGAGCACATAGGTTGCTTTTATCCCAGAAAAATGTGAGGTTCCCGTGGGATAGATTTGTTTCTGTTTAGAGGCGAACCCGAACGAAGCGAGGGTGAGCCGCTAGTAAATAATATAAATAAAACCACAGAGTAAATATGTCATTTCCTGTATTTCTAACATATTAGACTTTTATACACTACGTCATTGTATTTACATGAGCATTCGCTTTACAATATTAATAAAATTAAAATATTTTTTCTCTCTTAATTTAAAATATTTATACAATTTCCATACCTACTAGGTAATATTATTAGGCAAAGTGACAACACTTTGAAAGCTAAGAAAAATCGTATAGTGTTTTACCCATACTTCGACAATGGAGCGGGATTCTATTTTATTATATTTGCTGATGCGAATTAACTGCATTTGTTTTTAAATAAACAATGTTTATTATCTGTAGTTATTTTTCGCAACAATTATTACAAAAATGTACAAAATTACGAAACTAAGTGTTTCCGTTACATATCCTAGATTTCATCTGTTATCAAAACTCTTATTGTAATATGCGATCCTGGTAGGAAAAATATACTTTCATTTATTTGTCTTTAAATAATCAATTTCTTTAACTATTTTTTACAATATGATTTGATATACTAATTTTTCACATTGTTCACCAATATTGCACTCACAACTGAAATAATAATTTTATTGCAAACGAAAATGGACTATAACCCCTTAATACAAAGCTCATTTTAGCGTGGTCTTTTATAATAATATGCATAATCATACAACAATCGCTGGCTATTGGCACAAAATCACCCACAATTTGATCCGACATCTCTTGTCTCTTTCTAATGAACGGCGCATGCTAAGATATGAAAGAGACACACTGATCCTTAACAATTTCGTTAACAGCCGAAACAGATGTACATATTTCTTTTTCAATAATTTACAATAAGTTAGATCAGTCAAGCTAAATAAATACGTTCGCCGATCTCATAACTAGGTTATTCGCACTACAATTTACACAGAGGTTATCAATATTTGTACATAATACGTAAGTATATAATTTATTGCATAAGACAAATTTCCGAATTTGGTTTAAGCTTTATTGAAGCAAGTCCCTTGTATTATACAGTACCATAAACCCATATAGGCACACTATTAGGACGGCCACGGGGACTTACCGCCAGCATTATTTACGCATTACCCCCAACTTATAAGGGTGAATATTTCATTTCGTGCTTATAACACGTCGCACCATAAAGAACATATAAAACGTTGAAAGATTTTGAAGTTGACGCTAATTATTTATCGAAAGCTTGGGGTTCTAAAAGACGCAACTCGTTAAATATGTATATTATTATTAAATATGCTTAGAAAACAATAACAAAGTCTTAAAATCTAATTACCACCAGTGTCCCTTTTACAAGATTTGACCAAATGGGAATATTTTACAAAAAACTGTGCTTAAAGAATAAGATTTTTATATATTTTTATGATAATAGGATAAATTATCTATATTTAGTTCTTTTATGATTAGTGAAAGAACAAATTTAAGTTGAAGCTAATTTTTATTACTTTAAAAAATGTCCTTACATTTACCCCTAATTACCATTCGATGAAATGGTTTTCTCGATATTTTGTTATTTTCCCATCACCATGTACCTTACGTCGCGCAAAACATTCGGCACCAGTCGACGCTCTGCCATAGCCCATAGAGCCGATATAAAAGACCGTTACTGGCACCGTGAATTCAATTTCTCCGGTTAAAAGTTGGTGTGGTTCGGGATATTTTTCTACATACCGTTGGAGTTATAAAAAGTAATATGTAATTGTTATTTTTTATTTAATCTTAGCTAGATTTAACAGATAATAGTTTATCTTTTAAGCAATAAACTTTATAAAAACATGTCTGTTTAAAATAACGATATTTAACCAAATATATTGATGAATCTAATTACCAAACTTCTAATTACCAGTGGTTACCGTTCGTTTTTAAGTCGAATGGTAATTAGAAGAAACTAACGGTAATGATTTTATATCAATATTAAGATTTGATCTAGCTTTAACTAGAAGAATGTATATAAAATAATGATACCTACTTATAATTAATATTAATTAGTGTCGTTCAGAAAACCAAATTAGTAAGCTTTTATTTTTGTTCGTTTGCCTGTTGTATTGTATTTTAAGATATATTTAATGATATTTTTATTATTTTTAGACTATGATGGCCCGGAAAAGAAAAACTAAGGAAGAAGTACGAGAAAAGGCTAAATTAGCACGCAGAAAAAGTTATGAACATAATAAATTAAATCCTGTCTTATATGCTCTAAAAATAGAAAAGGAACGTCAAAAATATACAAGACGAAAGGAACAATATTCTGTTCAATAGGTGATATGACTCCAAGAGCCAAAAGACTCCAAAGAAAAAAATGGAGAGAAAACTTCAATAAATTTTACCAAAGAAAACTTTTACGCCACATCACTGTCCCTCCGTCATATTTAGCTTAGTCTAATTATATATTTTACGAAAACATAATAAAGAACACGGCCAGGCCAATTTTTTATTTTTTTCAAAATGTCTAAATATGCACGAAATGAAATATTCACCCATAACCGCTTCTCTTTAATCGGTTGCTAAGCAACAATGTTTAACAGATCATCTGTCAAACAACATTCATCTGTCAAACATCCCAACTTAATACTTTCTTAGATTGAATATTAGTAATTTTAAATAAAACTATCTTTTTGGTTTGGTAACGGTAGAGACCATGTTTGCTGTAAAGCATTTGAATCATCGGGAACCAAAAATTTAAATAAATCCCCGAACAAATCCGAAAAGATAGTTCTATTTAAAATCTCAATTTAGTAATTAATTAAATGTTGAGAGGCGTTTATATGAAGAGGTTCATGTAAGAGTCACTTTTAACGTAGCTTATGTGAACTTGGACCATTATCTAAATTTAAATTGATAACATCTGGTCCAAGCAAGCCCTACGTAGAACAAATAGCAGCCGGGCACAGCCATACCACCGCCGACTTCATGACTCCCTGGTACTTCAAAATTATCACAAAAAGATGTTCGCTCGTACGTAAATAAGCCACATTATTTTATTTAACTTACGCTCTATCGCCCATCAAACGTACGAATAAATTGACAACACCTAAAGACGTCTTTGTACAGAGTTTCAAGTACTACAGTAGCTAACTGCACACATCACAGATATATAGAAAAAATATTTTTTATCCAGCTAAATGTATATACATAGTGGCGTTGTTCATACGAATTGATCCGTCTGTCTGGTCGAAATAAATAAAAAATCTTTCATTAAATCAAATACAAATTTAATTGAATACAATAAATGATGTATGAACACGACACTATATATAAACAAGTTCATTTTAGCCTTACACTAAGTATTCACAGTTGATATATAGAATTGCAGTAGACTTTGTAGCTGTGACGTCTGTCTATATGCATTTCATTCATTAGTTAATTCGCCATACTAATTGATTACTTCAAATGGGATTCGAACCCGCACCTAAAGTACATACAGACAGACAAACGACACACCTGAGCAAAGTATCGCGGGGTTTAGTATTTAATAGCACAGTTCACTAACATGCTTCAAAATATATGTATTTCAGTTTTCGACATAAAATATTTGCTCCCTAAATTACTGGCTCTAAATAAATAAATAATAATTAAATTATTTTACACGCACATTGTGTGCACAAATCACATGGAATTCGTTTCTTGTAGAAAAATATAAAGAGAACTGTCTACACCAGCAGTTTCCAATTTTTTTTGGCCACGGAACCCTAATTGATCATAATTCTTTTAACGGATCCCCATTTTGATAATAACTAAACTGATTGTGTTGCAGTCAGAATTCCTTTTTTAACTTTAAAAACCAATCATAAACGAAAAATATTAATACTTATAATAATTTTAATGTGATGAATGAAATTTTTTCACATATTTATTTATAATAATACTAAAATAAGGCTTCATGTCTGAAAAGATAACGTTTTATTTAACTCGCTGACGGAACTCGAAACCCCTGTGACCCTTCCACAGGACCCTAGGGTTCGGACCCTAGGGTTCCGCAGACCACCATTTGGAAACCGCTGGTCTAAATTGTCCTAATCTAAACGGTTTGGCCCGACATGAACACCGCACCATCACAGTGTCGCCACTCGCTGCGCACGCACTCGCTCGCGTCACAAGTATTTAGTAAACGTAAACGTTAGCGTGAACGTAAACTCGTACAGTGCACGTTTCTATTAATCCGTCATTGTTAATGCATCAACTTTTTACGTCCGGCTCTTAGACTATATTTACTCCAGTATCAACATTCATCACAGACAGGTCAATATGTCATACACTTATCTCTTAATTGAATCAATTGTATCTGTTTATACATATAATACTTAATCTATAGCATATATGTACACATTCAAAGTAACAAAATGCTAAGGCATAGAACACTATTTTATAGTCCAACAGCCGGCGGAAGGAAATTGTATATTTATTATTTTAGATAGAAATGTGCATCGCACTTTAAGCTCTTATTGTATAAACGGCTTAAACTACGCGTCTTATAATAACCGGGGCGTACATTTATTATTGCTTGGTAATTAGGCAGTGAACAACGACAACCGCTCCTCGAGCTTATAGAACGCACACAGACGGACATACATGTGGATATGAATGTGTTGGTGGGATTTTAGTTTTGTTTAAAAAAAAAACAATTTAATTCAATACTATTGTTAATGGCTAAAGCGTGCCAGTTGAGCACAGATTACTTTGCCAATGTCACGTAGAATGGAGAAGACACAAGGGAGATGTACGGTATAACATAAATTTTATTTCTTTGTTAATTAATAAATCAATTTTACTATAAATTTTAACGCGATAGTAGGTATGTTAAAAAAGGTAAACATATTTTGGAATTGATATTTGGGTGCCTATTCCTATTAAATCATCACTCAATAATGTCATTTAAACAATTTAAGTCTAAAATTAAAAGTATATTATTGAATAAAGCATATGACACCGTCAAGGAATACTTTGTAGATATCAATGTGTGGAACTAATGTCTGGTTGGGTCTTACGTAGAATAAGTAGACAATTATTGTATTACAATATTGTAAGCAAATATTATTTTAAAAGAGCAACTGTTGAGTTTTTCGCCGGTACTTCTCAGCAGTGGTTGATTCCTCACGGACTGACTACACTGACATTTAATTTAAATTTGTAATTTAAAATTGACAATTCAAAAGTGCTTGTAAAAGTCTATTTGAATAAAGTATATTTTGATTTGATTTGTCCAAAATACATAAATATATGTAGCAATGTTTAGTAATAATATCGGACCGAAAAATGTCGAACATTTTTTAAAGCAATTCTTTTAGTGAGTTTTGTGTTTAATGATGCAGTATTGGATAAATTAAAAGTTAATTTGGAATAACAGATACTAATTACATTTGATACATTTTGAGGTTAGATAGGTACGTATTTCACTAAGAGGCATCAATTAACTCTTCACTACACCTACCTTATGAAAACCACCTACACCAGACCGTATGAAAAGTAATGAACAAAATTTGGTCGGAAGTTGAGTGGATATCAATTCAAGAAATCACAGGAGATCCCAATAATCTATCTGAGGAACTTACTTGATAGAAAGATTACGCATAATCTACTCTTAGGCACCTTGGGACGTTCCCAATAATAACATATAAAATGGCAACTGTTGAATTTCTCGCTGGCTCTTCTCAGCAGAACTGCTTTCCGAGCCGATGGTAGCTCCACACGAACTGACTATACTGACACTTAAATTAAATTGACGATCCAAAAGCGCTTGTAATAAGTCTAATTGAATATAGTTTATTTCATTTTAAATAATTAAAAAATAAAAACAGACAGGCTAATGGGATCTGTTGTAAATATATAACAACATAATATTCAATTAAAGCAAACCAAATCATCCCACCAACACACGACCACAACCAGATGTGACCAGCTATCGTGACCCATACTGACATACTGGTATAACGTATAAGACCAGCTATCGCGAACTCTACTGTCATAAAGCATGTGTCCAGCTATACAGCTATCGCGACCCATACTGATATAACGAACGTGACCAACTATCGTGACCTATACTGACATGACAGACGTGACCAACTATCGTGACCTATACTGACATGACAGATGTGACCAGCTATCGTGACCAATACTGACATAACAGATGTGACCAGGTATCGTGACCCATGCTGACATAACGGATGTGACCAGCCATCGCGAGCCACACCAGCCCCGGCCCGGCGCGCTCAGGGCGGGGGTCACGTGGGCGGCGCGCTGGACACCACCACCACAGGCTTCACTATGGTGGTGCTCACGTACTGCGCGCTCACCAGCGGGGTCACGCCCGTCTTCACCATTTGGGTTTCTACCATCTGTGGGTTAATGTTATTTGTTATATTAATATGTAGTTAATAATATAAATGAAGTTTAAATCTATAAAATACAAATTTGACGACACTTTTGGCTCAGTTTGTAGTGACTCTACTTGCTGTGCCAGCGCTCGCGGTTTCGAGTCTCACTGGGTGCATCCATTTCTGTGATGAGTACGAATGTTTGTATTAGTCATAAGTAGTATATTTATAGTGTTATTTGTTGGTAAGTTCGTTGGCGGTGGACTATGGCCTGACCCCTGTCGTATTAATGGGAGGCCCGTGCCCAACAGTGGGACGTTAAAAAGGGCTGAATACAATAAATAAATACATACATACAAAATATTATTTTCATTTATTGTATGTATTTATTCAGACCTTTTTTAACGTCCCACTGCTGGGCACGAGCTTCCATTAAATACGAGGGATCAGGCCGTAGTCCACCACGCTAGTCAAGAGCGGGCAGACTGATTATGTCATTCGAAAACTTGCTAAATTCTCTCAGACATGCAGGTTTCCACACGATGCTTTCCTTCACCGTAAGGCAAGTAGTAATCAAGCTGGAAATGATTCGCACACGAAAATATTAGAGGTGCGTGATCCGGGATTTGTACCCGCTACACTCGGTTTCCCAAGCGAGCACGTTACCATTGGGCTACCACTGCCTATTCCATTTAATATGATAGATTAATTTATATTCACCTTATGCGTAAGTGTGTGCGTTTGCAGCAGATGCGCCGCCGGCTGTGACACCACGAGCGGCGCGAGGCCGCTCACCACCACGCTGCCCACTGCGGCGGGACAAGACAATATTATAGATCACATGTTGATGTAATAATAATACTCTATATTAAACATCTTATATAACAAACAAACACAACGAAAAATAATATTAAATAATTTATATTACTGTATACACGTAGCAAGCAGCGCTGCCAATTGGCGGTTATATTACCCGAGAAGCGGGTAATTTTAGGCGATTTTTGATGGCGGATAATTTTGACGGGTATTTGCATTGAGCGGGGTCAGAGCAGGTATTTTAGTTTAGCTGATTAATTTGATATTTTAAGTTTTTTGATATAATAATTTAAAGCTGTTTAATTGAGAACAGATTACAATGACTTCTTTTTCTAACATTTGTACTTCCTTTTATTTTACATAAAACATGAATAAATTACTTAAAAAAATTATATTAATATTTTCGGGTATTCTGCTCATGGATGGCGCCGGCGGGATAAACCGGTTATTTTGAGGTTTATTGGTCGGGTAAATCAACGACTGTTATCTGGCTGCCCTGGTAGCAAGACTCGCAACTTTAAACATGTACATCATACATATATAATATATATTATATATGTATGTCTCCAACTGAATAATGCTGCGAGTATCTTCCTTCGTCACCTTGTTCGCTTTCTAAAATTATTTTTTTTTCTATTAATAGCTTTTTAGTTTTTGTGTGTTAGAGATTTTTATTTTTATATCATTTTTATGTATCATACATACACCAGACTGCTATACACTAAACAAATATAAAAAAAATCATCACAATATTTTCTGTTTGTTTGCAAAGGATTCAGTATAATGTCTTTATACACACCAGTGGATGTGGGCGGAGGCGTGACAATACCATTTTCTTTAGCTATCCTACTGTTATCCGTTGTTATACCTGTAAAGATGTAATGAAATAAAAATAACAAATCAACTTATTTATATTATGAAGCTGATTCAATGTGAGTTTGTTTACGAAATCAGACATTTAGAGGCCACCGGATATTTCGGCTGACATGAGCTCTAATAGTCCGTACCTTGCAATCCATATTAAAATGTGAAAGTTTGTGAGGATGGATGGATGGATGTTTGTTACTTTTATGCCAGAACAGCTGAACACATCTGGATGAAATTTGGATAGTCTGGAATAGCAGATACGTTATTTTTTAACCCGGAAAAATGTACGGTTCTCGTGGAATAAGTTAGATTTAGAGATAAGAAGCGAAGCGAGGGTGAGCCTCTGGTATAATAATAAAAATACAAATAATTTGATGCCATTGTGCTTATCTGATGACGTAACTAGATGCTGATAGTGGAGATCTTTAAGTTTGGACTCACTTGATTCATAATAATATGAAGTTGGTTTAAAGCGTATTCTTTTAGTTTTTTAAAACAAAAATCCCATTAGTACTATAAATACAAAAGTTTTGTTACTTTTGTTACTAAATCCCAGATTTTGATCAAATTAAGTATGCAGATAGGCTATGTCATTAGACTTGCTGTTAGACAGCTAGGGACGCACCCGAGCAGAGCTGGGGTAAATCACGGGTATATATATACTAGCGACTTCGTCCCTAGTGAAAATTTAGGTTTGCATATATTTTTCAATACCGAAATAAAACTTTTTTTTTGGCGTGGACCACCCTTATTACTTATGGGTATAAAAATAGTTTACGTCCTATTCTCAGACCTACTGAATATACACACAAAATTTAATAAGAATCGGTCAAGCCATTTCGGAGCAGTTTTGTTACAAACATTGTGACACGAGAGTTTTATATATTAGATTAGCACAATCCCAACTCACCATTGGTGTGGATAGATGGCGCTTGCAACACTCGCAGGCCGCTGGTGGACAGCAGCTGCAGCGCCGCCGGCCCTACTACCAGACCACCACTGGTTACCACCTGTAGGCATTATGCAATTTATCTATCTATACATACAATAAAATTGTGAGTTGAATCTGTACACTAAATATTTTTTGGAAAATATTATTGAAATAGTCATTATTATCTACTCTAGTTTTTAGGATTTTAGTCTGTCTGTCTCTGACCGCATCACGAGAAAACCTGGACAGATTTTGATTAAATTTGGTATGATGATAGATAGCTGGTTATCCGGGTCAACATATAGGATATTTTTTACTGCGGGAAAATATTTCACCTCTGAGAAATCTATACTAAATGTTAAAACATAACTAGTGACGAATCCGAGCAGAGCGAGGGTGAGTCGTTAATAATATCCTTCTGAGCAATGGTCGTGTGTACAGACTTTTTTCTTACCAAACGACAACTCGATTAGGTACGGTGAAAGTTAACGCTTTGGAGTGATAGATTAATTCAATTCAAATCTCTTGTTAAAGTGATAGATTCATGAGATCTGCCTTAGCCCAAGTAAATGCCAAGCTACAGACTAAGGAATGATATAGAGAGAATTTCATAGAACTAAACTAGTCTAGAACTAAACTAATTTCACCATAGATCAAAAAAGTACTACATATAATCAGCGAAAAATAATGTCCTCGCCGAATAAGCGCTCATTTGAACATTTGAGCGCGCTTTTAATATATTTTTTTGTGAAAAGAACTTTAAGCATTGCTTTTAACGTTCAATTTACATTGTTGTAAGTTTATTTGAACTAGAATAATTACCTAAACACAGTTGGTGACAGTTTTAAGTGGACTTTTGCATGAGATTGTGTATCTAGTCATTTTTTAATCGATGATGAAACCAAACAAAAATCTTTTAAAATAATATAATATGTTTTAAAATAGTATACAATTGACATTTTAGTAATAAGTGTTAATACATACATAAAAATAGCTAACGGATTTTATTATAATAAAGAAAAAAAATAACTATTACAGGATAAAACGAAAATGTTCAAATACTATTTAGATAGACGACACGTTTGGCACAGTTTGGCACAGTCATGGGTGTTTATATTATAATATGTATGTATTTAAAGTTATATAATATGTGTAGTGTATTAATTATCTGGTATCCATAACACAAGCCTGGTCTAGTTCCATGGTGCTTCCCATGGAACAAAATGGTGCTGTTTTCAAGTCCCAAAATATTTATTTAATATTTATTGCCAATAGAAAATACTTACTTGTGAAAGTGGGAGGTGAATTTGAGCTGGATGCAATAAATTGTTCAACGTGTTCACGCCATTTTCTTGACCGTTCTGGAACAAAATAAACATTATGTAAAACCAAAACACAATACTTTTTCATATTTTAATTCAAATTAATCTTATTAGGTCTCAAAATTTTCGTCAATTAAATTAAACGGAGAGAGTGTAGTCCACTATAAAATGTGACATATTATATAACAAAAAAACCCACTATAAGCAAAGTGGCGTATGAGAAGTATGAGAAATTCGGCCGAGGATCTGAAAGCTTGAACTGAATTCAATCGATCTACGTCTTAGCTACGGGAAAGTATTTCATAGCTAACCCACAGATCGGGTGAATAGTCACGTCCTTTACTTTAATAAAATCGAAAGAAAAACTCTCTGCTGTAATACACAACAAGTATTGGTAGTTTGAACAAATCTATACTAATAATATAAAGATGCAGAGTTTGTTTGTTTGATTGAACGCCTTAATCTCAGAAACTTCTAATCCAATTTGATTATATTTTTTTTGCATTAGGTAGCTCATACATTGTTGAAGGCTATAGGCTATATATCATCATGCTACTACACAAGGGAGCGGAGCAGTAAGCATAAATTTCAACAAATAGGACAGACTTCCATACATTATTATAAAGGGAAGGGTCTAGGTCTAAGGAACTAGTGAGTCGCTAGTAAGTAGCTAAGACGACAAATAAGTAAATAGTTTTGGCTTTTCTTTCGAGAAAAATAAAATTACCTGCGTAGAGGGTTCTGCCGGAGCGATCTTTGTTAGGGTTAAGGTGTTATGCCTAGTGCCGTACGACGTCCTCACAACCTGTAATAATTAATAATGTAATTTAAAGTTATAAACATATATGTAGTGTATTAACCATCTAGTATCCATAACACAAGCTTTGTGCTTACCATGGAATTAGATGGTGCTGTGTGTTGATGTTCCAACATATTTATTTATCACTTTCATGGATGCTAGACATACAGTTAGATCATATGAAATGAAATAAACTTATTCAGTTAGACAATTTACAAGCACTTTATTACAAGCACTTTTGAATCGTCAATTTAATTTAAGCGTCAGTGTAGTCAGTCCGTATCGAAGCTACCACCGGCTCGGAAAGCTGTTCTGCTGAGAAGAGCGAGCGAGAAACTCAATAGTTGTTCTTTTAAATATCGAAGTTACATTTCTCATATTTATTTCATCAATGCCGATTAGAATAATAATTCAATTCAATTCTCTTGTTAATGGCTTTAAAGCGTGCAATTGGAACACAGATTACTTCGACATAAAATAAGATATATATAAAATAAGAAGTTAAGACTCTCTAAACTTTTAAAGCCAACTGTATAATAGTACATATATACATATAATAAAATTATAACAAAGCCGAATCTGTACATTAAATATTTTTTGAAAATTTTATTGAAATAGTCATTATTATCGATACAGATGCGGAATATATAGTTTTTAGAATTTGTGTCTGTCTGTCTGTCTGTGACCACATCACTGAAAATCTACTGGAGGATTTTGATGAAATTTGGTATGATGATAGCTGGTTATCCGGGTCAACATATAGGATACTTTTTACTGCAGGAAAATAACTCATCTCTGAGAAATCTGTAAACATTGAAACGTAAGCTGGTACTTATATACATTTACATTTTTGCAATAGATGGCGTTAGTGTTACATTTAAATGCGTCAGTTACAACCTCTTTACTCTTAAAACAATGGAAAAATGTAGTTTAGTTTATAAAGATAATGACGTCATTTATTCCTCCCTCATAAGAATCCCTCTATTTTTTCACTTAATATAAAGTGGGCCTGACTATCCCTAAGTACAATAAATAATTAAGGATATTTCTTACTAAAGTACACGAATACTACTCATTTTATCAATATTATTTTTAATTTATCTAATTGTTTTTATTTTAGAAATTAAATAATTTGATGTAAATTTTTATTTAGTTTAATAGTTTTTTTTTAAGTCTGTCCTGAAAACAAGCTATATCAATACCGAAAATATTTCAATACCATACGAATACCTCGTTATGACGAAAAAAAGTTATAGACTCACTCACTAACTCACTTACTTATTGTTCTTTCACATAAAACATAAAATTAGTGTCAGTCTTACTTATGTTAGTTTAATATCCGATAAAAAAATGTATTTACATAATAAATACATAGAAACTTCTTTTATTTCAAATAAATAATTTATTTCATAGTATTACAATATAAAGATATCAATATCGTATAATAAAATGAGAAACACTTTATTATTTCTTTTGAATATTATATACACATGAAAAAATTGCTTTTTTTAAATATATACAGTACATATGTTACGTATGGTTTATTTTTCAATCATCAAACCCACTATAAAAGGGAAATAACTTAATTATTTTATTTATTCATTCGTAGTTTTTATTTATTTATATTGTATTTATTGTATGCTAGCGGCTCGCCCTTGCTTCGCTCGGGTTCATCGCTAGGTACGTTTTAAATAGATATAAATAGTCATTAGCCAGCGTTTTCTTTCGATATTTTTTTTATGTTTTGATACTTCAAATTTTTCAAATTTTTCAATTATCATAAAAATTGGTCCAGTTCTCGAGTTATAAATGGTGTAACTAACACAACTTTATATTTACCTTATTTTAAAATTTTTCTCCTTATTAAAACTTTTCGTGTATCTTAAGGATCATACAAAAAAAAATAGCTGAATTGGTCGAGCCGTTCTCGAGTTTTGCGCTTAGCAACATTCATTTTTATTATAGCAGATTACTTGTATGAAATAAGTTTTATCGGATAATTGAAAAATTAGCTGAATTAAAGACTTATAAAAGACGGACGACAGTCAGTTATTTAAAAATAGGCAAAATATTTTAGAATATGTATTACATAAGTATTATTTAAAATAAAAAAAAAGGATTAATAGAAATAAACCCTTGCCTACAAACAAATAAATCCTAAATTAAAAAAAAACTACTTTATCGCGCGATTTTTTTGTAATTCTTTCAAACAAACAAAGAAGCAAGTTTTCCTCATAATCTCCATACAAATCTGAGATTAGCCGGAGATCTAATTTCTAACGTGTTACCAGGCGCCCATACCTGCGAGGTGGTGGGTGTTATTTGTATAGGCAGCGCGCGCAGCTTCGTGCTCAGGTTAAGAGTGCGCGGGGGCGACGACTCCATTCTCGCGTGCGGCGGCGAAGACGTAATCTGAAATTAGACAAAACATATCTAAAATATAAACACGTGTATTATTCTGCCGTCATAAAACAGAAGGCCGCAACTTCGTCAAAGTTGATTTAGACATATTTGAAGTTTTGTCTTAGGTACTTAGTAGTAGTTTTGACGTAGTGACCGATGAAAATGGTTATGGTGTCTCAGATTTATAAAACTTAGAGCTTTATGAGTAAGACATATCAAGTAGCATTTTTTTTTGCTGATTCCGAATCTGCTTTTAAGTAATTTTTGACCAAATTGTCAGTTAGGACCTCCTTTATTAAGACGGCAGTATTTCAAACAAACTACACTTAATAAATAATCATTCGCATTAGAAATGTAAATAAGCAAAAAGTTTTTATATAAACTTACACTTATAGGTATTCCTAAGACCTGCCCATTGATATTATCGTCCATATCTTTCTCTTCAGAAACGGCATCTGAAATTGTAAAATACAACTACTTTTAATATTTTTGAAACTAAAACAAATAATTACTTAAAAAAATAAGAACATTAATTTATTAATTCCATTAAAAAAATTGTTAAAGAACTAAGTAACATGAACAAGACATCAACAACACACAACCAATTCTAGAGCGAGACAGCTATATATACATCCATCTCACAGCACCGAACTTAAATTTAAGCAGAGAAAACAAATCCCCTCTCGACGGTGAGGACATATTAATAAATTAATTTAATTCGCAATCGCGGTGCCAAATATTAAATAAACTACGCCGTGTGTACCAGGCGCACACGACGCGTGAGGAGATAGTCTCACGACTCACCGATACTACGAGGGCGTACTATGGCGCGGACGGATACCTCCCGCTTCAACGTGGCGAGTCTTTGTTGCGCCGCGATCTTCTCACGGGCCAGCCGCTCCATTTCGTGCTCGCATTCGCGTTCCTTTCTTCGAAGCACCTAAGAACAATGTACTGGGATCGCATGAATTGCTTAGAGGTTGATTTTGGCGTGGTTGGCTATATATTGATATTTGCTGTTGGTTGTGATATCCAGTTTGTGATATCATGACATTGACCGTGTGTTTGATATTATCTAGCTACTTATTAGTTGCGTGGTATAGTCAAGGTATTTTACATGACACAAAGGACAGACGCGTGTTAAAATAGTTTTAAGTGATAGTATAGTGATTAAGTTATGTTTTTTATAAGGATTTTGCATATAGGCACTGATCTATGCATTATGCCAAGAAAAAATTTCAAAAACTATAATATTGCCCGTCATTTTATTTTTACTTTCAAAAATAAAATTAATAATAAAAGATGGAAAATTATTATTATAAATTTATCAAGAGACATCATGACAAAAGGGGATGGATCGAAAAGATAAATAATTGCACACGGTCGTACAATTTACTATATGTTTACGTAGCACATAATAATATCTATTGAAAATTATTATTATGAAACAACAATATGGCTTGATTATTCTATACAAAAACAAAATTAGCAATGATCTCCTGTAGCACTATGATATCCTGGTGATGATTTGCGAATTATGTAATTCGCGGGTCGACTACGTACACCCTACCCACATGATGTATGTTTTTTTGTTATCAGGTTCTTTTGTTTGAATTTTATGTTAAAGTAAAATTATTAAGAGCAATAAATAATAAGAAATACTAAAAAATCTAATAAAAACGACACAGTTAAAACACCTTCGTTTAACATTCGTCCTTAGCACGTTTTAAAATAGAACGCAGTAAATATAATTTATCATATCAAAAAAACTGGTTTCTTAAAACCTTTACTTTGAGGTATTATTATTAATACGTATATGAACTATGTTAGATCGTATTTTATATAATAGATACAGGAATACATATATCTTGGCCAAGCTATACAACTCGGCTGGCACAACTTTGAGAAGGTGGCCGACAGAATAATACGCTTGGGCTGGGCAGCTTTTGGGAAGCTTCGTTATATTCTACAGTCATCTGTCCCACAATCCTTTAAGAACACAGTATTTAACCAACCGTCCTACCCGTAATGACATACGGAGCCGAAAGTGGACACTCACCATAGGGCTGGTCCACAAATTCAAGGTCGCTCAGCGAGCGATGGAACGCGCGATGCTTGGAGTTTCTCTGGCAGACAGAATTCGGAATGAAGTCATTCGTAAGAGAACTAAAGTAACCTCAAAAGCTCGCTGAAGTGGAAGTGGGCCGGTCATGTCTTCAGACGTACTGATGGCCGACGGAGCCGAAAAGTGCTAGAGTAGTGCACGATGGACAGATGATCTAAGAAAGGTGGCTGGCAGTGGATGGATGCGGGGTGCCCAGGACCGGGATGGTTGGCGCTTATTGGGGGAGGCCTTTGTTCAGCAGTAGAAGGCGATAGGCTGATTGATTGATAATAGTACATATGCCTCATATATATTGATATTCTAGGCCTTCCCTTACTTTGCCTAATACATTCAACATGTATCAACCATTGTACATTGTACAATGTATGTATATCATTTTGACCATTCCTTTCACTTTCTTTGTAAAACCTTTTGACCACGTACATACAATTGTAATTACATCTTTATATATTTAGAATGAGATATTCATTTTAAATCTGTCATACTGTTTATCATTTACGGTAATTCTGTCAGAAGCATAAAGTTATTATTTAAGTATGACATCGGTGGCGAATATTTTTATTCTTACCTGAATATACCTAATAGCTGAGCCAAGAATAGATAGGTTAGACGTTTTCTTATCATCAGGCGTGGCGGGTAGCTGTCTTTTGAGGAGTTCGAAGCACTCTTTGAGATGAGCTCGACGATTTTTTTCTAATTTGTTGTGCACCTCGCGGGTTCCGGCCCGGGGGGCGCTACCACCGCTGTTGCTACCACTACCACTGCCATTACTGCTGGCCGATGGTGGTGATGGGATTTGGGGTGGTCTGGTGATTGAAACAATAAATATTATAAAATTATTTGTCATATATGAACATATCTAAAGTATGAAATACCGATTAAAAGCAATCTAGATAAGATCTATCCAGACTGTCGACATTAATCAGCACGACAAAGAAATAATTAACTTACAAAATAGGGTTACGTATAATACGAGATTAATGATGCATACGATAGCAAGGACTGATCTATCGGACTTTGAATGTAAACAAAGTGTTAATATTCAGTATGCGGCAGTACAGGAGCAAGGGTAAGACACTCAGGTACAGAATGGACGGCAAGTATGAAATTACACATTCAATTCTGACCCTATTGCATTTATTGTTTTACATCGTTTATACTTTATACGAAGAGACCTTAAGCTACATTGTGTTTTGTCATGGATATAGGTTAATATGGAGTCGCAAATATAAAATATATTTACGGATTAATCGTTGTTACATAAAGACCTACATTTACTATTTATGTTATCGACATCAGTGTTTGTTGGTCGGTCTGTTTTATTGTCTATTCACCGCTTATATTATAGACTGAGACTAAAAAATTATGTAGACGGAGTCCACCAAAAAATGTCAAAGTCAATAACAGTAGCATGATTTGCTGTTAATGCTACTATTCTCGATGTTGCCATACAGATCGTTTACTTTCTTTAAATAATTTTTACAGTAATGAGTACGTATTTGTATACTATTTTAAAACTAATGTTTTGTTTTGCTTCACATTTTCTTCTATAACACTCTGTCTATATTATTCCTTAGTCTGACATTATAGGTTATAGCTTCTAAAAAACTCGATTGGTCAATAGTCATGCCAAGACTTTCTTAAAAAAAGGGCGACATTCTGGTGACACTGTTTGTCAAATAACAAGTTTGTGCCAAATATCATTTAAAACCTCATGTTAAGAAATATAGTTTATCTTTATAAATATGTTGCACCCCATTTGATACCTAGACAAACGGCCAAAAATAATCGCTAATTAATAACATAGTGTCGCGCAGTGGAGTGTGTAACGTCACTTCACAACATCAAAAAGAATAATTAAAAGTTCAATTCAATTCTATTTTTTCTTTAGTGGCTTCTAGGAGTGGCGTGTTGGCATAATTTAAAAAAAAATACACGTCTAAAGCGTGCTTTAAACATCTTAAGATACTTGTCAACACATGACAATTAAAGGACAAGAACAATTAATTGTAAGTTGCTATGTGTAAGAGAGGAACAAAACATTTTTCAGAGAGGAATCGAAATTACTAAAGTCTGATTTTTAATTCGACGGAGTTCTGATATTTTCAGAAGAAGTGTTGTCAACTTTGAAACGTTGTCACTAAAAACGGAAAACATTTTAGCAAAATAAAAAAAAACTATTCTTGAATTTAAGGTTTCAATTAGAAAAACTAAGATTTAAAATTATTGATAACTCTAAAATGGTAATTATTTTTTTATTATCATATTATTGAAGTTACAATAATTATTAAGGAAATTATCTTTCTATTACAGGAATCCCTGTCCAATAAATAATCCATAGTTGCAAGCCTTTTTTAGGAAAACCTCTTTGTTTGTAAAATATTTAGTTTTACTCTGTTTTATTCATTTAACCATTAAAAATTTACATTATAGTTAGCGTTCATTGAATGCACAAAACAAAGACTATTTACAATGTCGTAGATATTAATTTACTTGATCTAATTCTGTTTCACATTTTTTGTTATTTTATATTAAAAAAATTCAAAGCAGAAAAGGTTCATGATATCTGAATTGTCAAAGAACGACAGCTGTCATATTTCCGTAGAATTAAAAATCAGACTTTAGAAAAGTTTGAAGTTTCGAATACTAGAATGTTCGAAGAGTTCGAGAAGAAGTGAAAAAATGGAGAAAAGTGGAGTAAAGTCATAGTAAAATCATAGTGAAATCAAAGTCATAGTGAAATCTTGGTATGAAAAATAGTGTTCAAAGACTGAATTAAACCAACCCTATGAGTGTACTGCGTGTGTTTGAGAACCGCAATAAGTAACTTGTTATGAACGTAAAATAATAAAACATGTGTAGTTCAGAAGACTGACTTTTATTTCCGATCCCAGAAATCACAATATGAATATGTATATTAAATTATAACAAAAGTTACCTTTTACACATCATAAAATAATGTTTTGCAATTGCGTGTAAGAACTAAAAGTAAGAACATCTGTCAAAACTGCCATGCATAGAAAAATATAAGGAATAAGAAACACAATAGGATATGCCTTATACATAAATAAAAATTGTTAAAAGTGTGCTTGTAAATTATAATAACTTTTGATTTTTAATAATTATAATATAATTACTATATTTTAGCGAAACCTTAGCTATTTATCATACTAATTAAATGAAGAAAAAACCTTTAATGCCTAAACCTTAACCTTTAATGGCCTGAAATAAATACCTATTTCTATAGTCTGATTTTTAATTCGGCGGAATTCTGACATTTCAGAAATGTTGTCAGCATTAAAACATTGTCTCTAAAAACGGAAAGCATTTTAGTAAAATAATAAAATAAACCTTTCTTGAATTTAAGGTTTCAATTAGAAAACCTAAGACTTAAAAAAATATTGATAACTCTAACAGGGTAATTATTTTTTTAATATCATATTATCGAAGTTAGAATAATTATTAAGGAAATTATTTTTCTATAACAGGAATCCCTGTTCAATAATACATAGGTTGCAAGCCTTTTTTAGGAAAACCCCTTTGTTTGTAAAATCTTTGCAATTGGCAAAAAGAATTGGAAAGTCCCAAAAAGACAGGTCCACGTCCAACGATCGTTCACGAATTTTTATTATTGTTTTTGGCAAGAATGCATAAACCATATTATAAAAGAAAAGGATAAAATGTGCCCTCTTAATGATCTGATGGATAGTGTGTGTGATTCTTTTATAATCCGAGTGGATGATGACGACAAGGAAGATATAAGTAATAATGATTAGTAAATATTTTCATTTCTTATATTTTGTTTTACTCTGTTTTTTTTCATTTAACGATTAAAAAATAACATTATAGTTAGTGTGCATTGATTGCACAAAACAAAGACTATTTACAATGTCATACATATAGTTTAATTTATTTAATTCTGTTTCATATTTTTGGTTATTTTATATTAAAAAAATACAAAGCAGAAATGGTTTATGATATCTGAATTGGCAAAGAATGATAGCTGTCATATTTCCGTGGAATTAAAAATCAGACTATATACATCCTAAGATGTAACAATATGGACAATTATGATTTATGACACATTATTATTAAAGGAAACGATTTACGCTGTGTTATGCTGTGAAATTTTACTTACAAGAAACCATTGTTTACGCATTGATTTCTCTTTTACATAAAATTTTAAACCGCTTAAAAACCTTTTAAGTAAATTTTCATTATATATATATATATATATAATCAACCCAATTTACTCTGTGGTCTGTTGTCATGTGGCAGAATGAGAAACCGACACTCACCACACTTTCGCAATTGTAATAAGGATTTTCCTATTGCATTGTTTGCTAAACCCAAATATAAATTACATATTCATAACATCACCTATATGAATACATACTAACATTTAAAATGATTCCATCATGCAAAAGACATTAAAAAAAAAACAAAAAATTTCACCAATCATCAGTCAGTCAGTCGCACGCAACAACAAAAAAAAACCGCAACACGTGGTAGGTAAGTCGCGAATATCATTCCCAGCTGTTTCTAGCATCGCGTGTACCAGGTTAGCATAACTCACCCGTGGCTAGTACGCGGCCTGGAATGTTCTTGTATGAAGTCGAGGGGCGTGATAGCCGGCTCGAGGGGCGCGGGGGGTGCGGTGGGCGCGAGAGGTCCCGTCGCCGGGGGCACGGGGAGCGCAGGGGGTGCCGGCACGAGGGGCACGGGGGGTGCGGGGGGCGCCGACACGGGCGACGCCGGGCGCACCACGCCGTTGCCGCGCGCCACCGCCACCCCCGCCAGCCTCAGCGACACCGGCGACTTGGGCTCCTCCTCTGTAAACAAATAGCCGTATGTAAGTAATCAAGCGTAATGCCGTAAGTCGTGACATTAGCGCCTAGTCAGACACTAGTGAGTGGCGAGTAGTTCCTACCGACCCGCGCGACCCGCTGACGGCCGTGTCAATTCCGTGTCAAACGCTCGTCGGTGGCTGCAATCTGTGGCGGTAAACTACCAGGCGAGCATGCTGACCGAGGAGTTGAACGGCCGCCGGAGAGCGAGAGGTCGTCGCGAGCGAGCGTGACGCTTGTATGCTCTTGAGCCCACTCACTTATTACGGTTTCCCAAAAGCACTCTTATAGTAATTGCGATAGAGTGTATTTTCACTTGCTATTTAAAAATGGCTGGAAGTGCATTAAAGTGAGAGGTGAAATACAAATTTAGGTAGGCGCGACAGAGATAGGTGAGGGGCGTGGCTTGCGAGATGTCGTCAACACGACAGTGCAAACAACAATGTTTTGAGGTTACCAGTTGCTAAGCCGAAAATCAGCTGCTCGTCGCGCTGGCTGGCCCACAACATAATACTAACGTAACGTAATGATACGGCACACTAAACCTCTCGATTTACAAAGGGATCTCACGTAGCGAACGTAAAATTACCTATGTAAGGAGGTCATTGACATTATCTATACATTGCCAATACGTTTATAAATAATATAGGATGTTAAATTATTTAAAAATACCTACCTACGAGCAACACTTCTAATTACACAATAAAACGATTATTACATAAAAATCAAGTAAAACAATTATATTATTATTTATTAACATCATTATTGCTAGTATCATGAATGTTCTATAGCTCTGCAGAATTCTTAGGTATGCAATGACTCAACGATGAAAATCAATTCTGTAAACAATATTAGCGTACCTACATTTGTATTATAATTAGTGGGTTACAAATGCTCTTACGAGTACATTATGTGCGTTATTTGCTTCAACTTCAGCTAATCCAATAACAATGACAGTAAGCAGTAGAACAAAATCGTTTTGAATTTTCGAAAAGAATGCCATCTTGCAAAACCAATATGGCGACCGTTCACATTGAATTGCGTCAGTCACAGGAAAAAAAGCACAAAAACAATATAATCAAATTAATTCACCAAATGAATAATAGCGGCGACGTTCTGAGCGCGTAACCTTAATCATGTCACGACCAAGCTCGTGCAGATTGAATAAAAATATTGGACATTTTTTATTTGCACTTTATGTATGAATGTACGAGTATAAATAACTTATACAAAACATGCAGAAAGTACTTTGGGAGTTAAACGATATTTTTAAATTATACAACTTTTTGTTCGTGATTCCACTCGCATGGTATGAGGTCAGAATATACCGCTCGTACTAGAAAGTAGAAACCCTCATCAGCCTGTAAAAGATCCTCTTAAAATAGATCAGACCATTCCGGAGATAAGCGGTTATTAACATATAGACAAACATTCATTTTAAAGTTCTTTTTTGGTTTTGGTTTCTTTAATACCCATACTAATATATAATATAGGCATATTAAAATAACAGAAAAATACTTTATTTTATTTAGGAAAAATCCATAATATTGGACTTGTAATCGATACAAGGGCAATTTATTGGGTATTAGGAATAATTTCATTGAGATTTACATACATTTTATTAGGTACTGTAATAAAATATTTTTTTGTACTTGAGGGATATTGGGAGCACGTGATCATGAACGGTACCTCCTACACGTATTCATCGTATAGTGCAGTTATGCGTCATATTAGCTCATCATGTAGGTCAAGGCACGAGGGCTCTCGATGTAAAATCATATCACACACAAACAGGCTACTATAAAAGTAACAGATAAGAAAAGAAAGTGTTTTATGTAGAAAAAAACGATGTATACTTTTATAACTTACCACTAAGCCTTACTCAAGCAAGAGCCTAATAGAGAACTAGCAATCAACTTTTAGTTCTGGCCAATAATTCATACAATAAATACCAAAATACACAAAGTATTTAAATAAAGAGGCTCACTAAAATAAAGAGAACTCCCTATTTCTAATTGTTAAAAATTATAAATATATGTGAATACATGAGTGAACCTAACATGTATAGGTATTAGGTAGGTCAGTAATTATAGTGCATAATATAGGAATTTTATGTGCATAAACATGACAACCGTATACATAAATAAGCGCGGAGAGCAGAAATAAAACAGTTTATTTTCAATACAGAAATATTACATAAAATATTTTGCAAATGAATATAATAATCTTCGTCTAAATTCAAACTGTCAAAATATAAGCAAGAATTTACAACGTAATGGACTAAGATCCCACTGCAAGATTACTACGTTAATTGCGTATTTAATCGAAATCAATTTTTTATATACAATAATAAAAGGAACAATATGTTTTGACCGGGATGCCTATTCAAATGTGCCCGCTAGTATGTTTAATTAACTAAATAATAGTTAACTTTCTGGAATAAAAACGATGCATTTGTTATTACAATTAATTATACTCCACGTCACAGAACGATGATAGCTGCCGTTGCGCATTTGGCCGCAACCTCTTCGCAGCCACGTATAAGCGGGTCATATTTTGGTATGTTTATGCGTTCATAGCGTACATGCATTATTTATATATCAAATTAAAGCTAATTTCTTTCTGTACCTGATAAACTACGTCTGCCTATGTAAAAGTGGCCGCAAAAGTAGTTGCGAGTCATTAAAAATGTTTTTATTACATTTATACGTTCATGGCGTATATTCATCATTTATATATCAAATTAAAGCTAATTTTATTCTGTGTGTGATAAAATACCTCTACCTATGTAAAAGTGGCCGCAATGGAAAGAAAAGAAGGAAAGAATATAATATTATATGTCATTTGTTAGACAATAACAACGGTTACCATGGCAACAAACAGATAACTAACGCGCTAACGCTCTTTCACTTTAATCTATCTTTGCCATGGTAATAAGACGCCTTCATCCACGAATTAATATTAAGAATAAACAAATCTACAAGAAAATAAATAAATCTATAACAATATTATAAAAAGGTAAAGTTTGTGAGTTTGTCACGTTGTAGGGGGTAATCTCTGGATCTATTGGAAACTTTTTATCCCGGAAATCATTCTTTAAGGGGGTGAAAATGGGGATGAAAGCTTCCATTGGAAAGCAATATATCATATAGCAATATAGTCAATGGTTATTTATAAAATGCCAATCATTACCTAACCATACTTAATTTTGCGTGAGAGATTAGCAGAATATTAACAAATATTTAAAAAATGAGGGCGCTACAAAATTTCACGTTCGACGGGTCGCTATACAATATAGATAGAGACGGTATCCTTTACGATTCAGGTTTTATATTCTAAATCTTGTAATCGGTATCCCTTTGAATAACAGTCAATGTGCAGAATCAATAATGACTAGAATAAATTCTAACGGAATTTAAGGCACTATAAGGCATAGCGCAGACAAAAAATAAACTTTGATGAACTTTTTTAAATAAAATCTTCTTTTTCGTCGAAAATAGTATACGAAATTATTAACTTAATCTAATAATTTAAATTATCGTTTAACAAACTTCAAACAGTAGGCATTTGACATTTGCAAAATATATTACAGACATTTATATCCATTTTTTTAAATTTTAAAATATCCTAAAAGTCTTCAGACACTTTTAACCCATTCACGTTGCGTAATTCATATAAATGAAAATAATAGGATACGATGGGACCGTAGACGGCTAGTGACCGATTGATTCAATACGAAACTGCATAGAATTTGAATAGCAAACTTCGTCTAAAGGTGATTGTGTCCTCAAAAGCTGGCGAACTCTCGACTTTGAGAAACAACTTCAATTCAGATAGCATACATTACAGTTGTGTTGACTCCTTCAGCTTTATGTTGTTCTAGTAGCCGCGTTTATTTACTATGCTTAGTCCTTAGATTCCTCAAAATCCTTCTTTACAAACTTATCTATACTAATATTATAAAGAAAAGTTTGTGAGTTTGTGAGGTTGTAGGGACCCCAACGTGCGTTCACCTTGTTGTGGTGGGAGGCTAAATACAAAAATTGATCTAAATCGTTAGAGAAGTTTCTGGGATAAACGAAATTAAGTTATAAGAGGTATAGGAGGTTATGTATATATTATGTATATACAAGAATTGCTCATTTAATATTATAAGATGTACCTACTGTTAGCTTGTGACAATGTCTCCGCTTACGTAGTCTATTTATTATTATGTATAATCACTTCACTCCAAGGGCAGCGTGATGTTAGATAACGTTTAACCTACCTCAATAAAATAACAGATAATTATACTAATTTCATGTTTTTATTAAAGCCATATTTATAGTTCTTTTTCTAAAAGATATAAGAGCAAAAATAAGACGTTATGATAAGGTGAAAAGAAAATACAACTTTCGACAAAAAAGGGTTTCTTTTATACAATATACGAATTAGGTAAAACGCATTTTATGAAGATTTTCACAAATCTAATCTGTGTTTGTTTATAAATTATTCCTATACCATTTATCCGTTTGAAAAAAGCTCGACGCGTAAAGGTATCTCAATACCATCAGCATAATAGGTGGGCCACGATTTTCGTTTATATGTTAAAAATTATAAATATATGTGAATACATGAGTGAACCTAACATGTATAGGTATTAGGTAGGTCAGTAATTATAGTGCATAATATAGGATTTTTTTTATAGGCATAAACATGACAACCGTATATAGCGTGGAGAGCAGAAATGAAAAAACAATCAAGACAATATAAAGGAGATAACTCTAATTGCTAAGAAGTCGGTGCCAGCCGATACAAATCAAAGCACACCGACTTCGAAAATATTTGATTTCCTATGTATAGTAAATGAAAACTACCAATCAATTATTTTTGACTTTTTAGTGTTTTTTTTTTAAGTCGGTTTTTATTTGTTTGTTAAAAAGTTTTTATTTTTCCCTTTTTAGTGTCAAATCTAACAAAGTAAGCCCAAACTCAAAGTACCTACT